ACAGAGAAAGCAAGCAGTTTGGAAAGAATATATTTTGCAATTTTGTGGAATAAATTAATTTGGTTGAAGTTTAAAATGAAAATTTAAATTATTTTTTTTTCAGAATTAAACTATGAACTCACACTGCAGAAATTGATTGTACACGTTCAACAACACAGGGCTGGAGCGATATATAGAGTTGCAATACGTTTTCCTCTCATCAACCATTGTTTCAGCCAGTTATTTATGGCTTACCCGGAAACTGCTAAAATCTTTATACACTTTCTCTTCTGAACAGTAAATGATAACAGACAATCCACGTACGTCATTTTCGTTGAAGTCTTTTCTCGCCATGTTTGATGTTCTAACCCACGCTGTGCACATGATTCTCCCGTCATTGGAATTGGTCAAAACCTCGTGTTTCCCGACAAGTATTAATGAAGTGGCCATATAAATGTATAGAATTCAGATACAGTCTTTGTACATGGGCTCTCAGCGACGTTGTTGGTTATAGCAATTGTGCGGTACCGTCATATCGTCCATCCTCTCAAACAGAAAATATCCGATGCCAAAGCAAGGCAATAACTGATTGGGCAGTTTTTGTATGTCCATCCTGACCGCTGCCCCGGAATTGATGATGACAAGTAATCGATCTACCATCGTTATCGGGAATTCGACTGCCACCATATTGCTACATAACTGTTATATACTAGCCCAGTATATAACCATATACCCAACCGTTTATCTAACCTTTTATGGGATGTTTTACTGTTTATCGCTTGTCATTTTGTGTCTGACCTACTTGGTCATCGTAAAGACTATCAGAAAAGCAAATATCTCGCGCACACAGATGCAACGCCATGTTAAATTTAGTTTGAGTACGATAAGCCAACCAGTGCCCACGGTGATCCATCCCAGATTGGAGAAAATATGTTCGAAAACGGATGCAAATCAATCGAAACTAACAGAGAAAGTAAGCAGTGGATTGGGAAAGAGTTCCAAGAATGGAAAGACAAAGGTGCTGTTGCTAATTACAATAATTTTCATTCTGGCGTATCTCCCTTATGTCTCTATTGGAGTGGTCCTCACACTGCAAAAGGATTTCAAGAGTAGCCTATCAACCACACAGGAGGCGATATATAGAGTTGCAATACGTTTTCCTCTCATCAACCATGTTGCTAATCCAGTTATTTATGGATTCTGCGATCTAAAATTTAAGAAACACTTCAAGGACTTATTTCTGAACAGTAAATGATATGTGATAGACGTTGTCTTCGTTGTAATATTCGTGGGTTGAAGTCTTTTCTCGCCATTACGCATCTTCGGTAACCCACGGTTGATTCACATCGATTCTCTCTATCGTCATTGAGGGAGGTTGTGAACTCAAAACCCGTGGTTTGCGACGACAACGATTAATGAAGTGTTCATATATAAGTATATAATTCAGATAGGGTCTTGTAGTTCACTATTGCACCTGTTAGTTTTGGTCTATAGTGCAATCAACCATGGTGGCAGATATGATAGCGCGATGACAGCAATGCGACAGAGGAATAACGATTGTGCGATGGCATGATGGTACGATAGCTATGAAGTGATGATGTAAGTACCATCGATCACCATCGTTATCGCAATATCGCGTCATTGCATCAACGTCATATTGCTATTTCCTAACTGTTATATACAGTGTATATATCGAATATTATCGCGTCTTCGACCCAACATTTGGTGTTTGATAGCGATGATGTGCGCTTTACGGTAACCATTGATTTATTATTTTAATATGAATAGGATTGGACAGCAGGTATTGCTTATACAAGTCCTCTCCATAAACGGTAAATGTTATTCACATTACCGTAAATCTGGAAATTTTTACTAAAGATTACCGTTCATGGTCGTAACTTTTGTCGCACTTTTAAAAGGTTAAAAAAAATCAAATTAGATCATTTTTGATTTGGGAGAATGTGTTGTTTGTGAATTAAAGATCTTTCGTTAACGTTTCATGGTTCTTTATTTAGTTTCTTTTATTCGCGCTTTTTACAAAAAGTTAGCATATAGTTGCTGGCTTGGTCAGTCAGTCATCTAAAAAGAGTATCTTCGTTTTCAAACTTCTCTGACATTTTTAAAGCAATAGGCAATTCATTCATTGCAAATCAGCAAACATTTTTTCAAAGGCAACCATTTTCCATAGCTCTTCTGAAAGTTTACGTAAAAGCCAATTCATCTTGGAATTTGAGAGTTGGTATTCTGTATATTTTCAAATATCACAGGGGTCGAAAAACGACATTTTTGCACAAAAAATGTTCCAAACCTCATTCTCAGTAGTTTGCGCAGTAGCCAAATAATCTTTTGAAATATTATTTGTCGTTTTCTCTAGATGTGCAATGAGGATTCAAATTTCTCTTTTTCACCCTGGTTCTGATTTGGGGGTCGAAAACAACGTTTACAAAATGTCGGTTCGAAGAACCCTTAATCCTAAATGCCTTGCAAAGTAGTTTCAGACTAGTATTTTTGCTTAATCACCAGCGTTCACTGGTTTTCCAGGCACAAAAAAGAATAATTTAAAGAGAAATACATACGCTCGGACATTATATGTATTGTCTTAATTAACACGGCATAGTTTTTAAGCTGGGAACTTGGTCCATACTGACTGACGAGGAACCAAGAACATTATTACTAGTATTCCCCATGCGATAAGTTGTGTGGGGGATAATATTTTTGACCCGTCCGTCAGTCCAGGGCATTTTGGCACTTTTAAAACTTAGGTTTTTGGCCAATATCTTGAATATAGAAATAAACAGTTTGTCAGAACAACTCTTAAACAGTTGCGCAGAATTTCGCAGTTTGTATACGGTATATTGCCAGGATATTCCGGTGCCCTTTATTTTGCTGGGAATTTTTCCACTTTTCAACTTAGATTTTTGGCCATATCTGAATATTGAGATGAACGGTTTGTAAGCGTAACTCCTTTTAAACCGCATCCTTGCAATGTCAGGGACCCTGCGTCTAACGGCAATATGTTGACTCGGGACCCCTGGCATTGCGAGGATGCGTTAACACCGCTGTACAGAATTCCGTCAAACTCTGCAGATATTTAGGACTCAGTGTGCAGTTATGATATTGCTGGAAAATTTCGATTAAATTTGTAACGGACAGATATTTGAATGTCTTTGCATGTAAAATGTTTTTGGAGTCAAGGTCTTCAAATGGGTTTCAAGTGAGATGATATTTTGCAAGTAATGGCCCGGCCTTTTTGAATTACCGGTATACTGTGTATTTAATATTCACCATGCCATTCATTGTGTGTTGCATTGTCAAGTTTGGGGGATCTTGGGGTGTGTGAGCTTGCTCACTTTACTTTATTATACAGCTTGTATGATTATACCCTCCTCTTGAAAAGTGGGAGGGTGTATAGTAATCGGGAAGTCCATCCGCCCGTCTGTTATGTTTTAGGATACCCGTCTATTATCCGCACTCCTCTTATACCACTGAATTAGATGTAAAGAAACCTTCACAGAATCTTTATTACAAGAGACATTGTGAACCTCTTATTTTACTTTTTGATCCAACATATATTTTTGGTTTCCACAGTAAAACATTGACACTGCCATTCTTTCTATTACGTTGAAGGTGCCCATCTCTTGTCCACAACTCCTCCTATACCACTGAATAAAATCTAATGATACTTTCACAGATTCCTCGTTCTTTATTACATAAAGCCATTGTGCACCTCCTATTATAGTTTTTTACCCTGACACTTACGTATTTCGGGTCTCTCAGAGCAAACTAGAGGTACTAACAGAACTGCTAACTAAATGATTCTCCCGCCTCCCGTATAATTATAATGGCAAATACCATGCTTTGCTCTGGGAGACCTTAAATAAATAAAGCAAATACTAGTAAGTGCTTTGAAGTTGATATAGAAAGTATCTTGGTGTTTCTTTTAAAAACCTTAATGTAGTATTTGGAAAACAACAAACTGTTGGAATGTCAATGGGTACTTATTGTGCTCCTTAATTAGCCGATCTGCTTTTTTATTATATACCTTATGCGTATCACTCAATTTTACTGTATATTTAACGCAATCACGTGACGTCGTGATTCTACTTTCCGGATCACCACACTGTGGTTTTCTGAATCCATATCACCACTCTCTGAAACTGATGATGTAGTACGCAGAAATATGACGTTATTTTCCTCATTATTATGCTTTGTTTAATGGATTAATTTTATTCATACAATTGTTCTCTAAAGGTTTATTTTAATATATTTAGCCATTTATAAGGTGGTATATAATAAATTTATCATTTTAACAGTAACTTGATCCAAAGGGCTGTATCACGTCTCGTTGACAGGCGCGGATAATCAAATCAAACTCGACGCTTCGCGTCTCGTTTGATCTGATGATCCGTGCCTGTCAACTCGACGTGATACGACCCTTCGGATCAAGTTACTGTTATAATTATATATATTCCTATAAAACAAAATTTATTCAAAATATCTATATGAGAAGAAAACACTTACAGGGACCTTTAATCCAATCCCAATATTCTTTACATAAATTGGAGTATTCAAATTTTAGCGGAATCACTGGTTATTGAGTTATTAGCGTAGTCATGAATTAGCGCATCGTTTGCTGTGCCCAAGCTGCTAAAATATGAAGCCCACTTTTTAAAGTACACATACAGTATCAACAAACAGCAGTTACTTCCACTCATATGTCAACTCATATATCATTGCTTGAAATAAATGTTTCTTTGATGACACACCAAAGGACCAAAACTCTATTTAACTGCTTACAAGGAGTCAGTATTTCACACACACCTTCCAACATAAGCATTATATGGGAATATATGTGGAACTTGATCCATGGAAACTTCGATCATTTAATAAACATTGCACAATCTTAATAGGACTGGAATTCATCAATCAAATGAAAATTGAAAATCTGAAAAGTTTGCTAATACCTGCCTGTGTTTGTTTCACAGAATGCACAATACACTAGCATCACATTAAGAATAAAGTATTTAGAATGTTGTTTATGGCACTCTAAAAATTTTAATTATCACATTATTTCAATCTTTTCTCATAAACAGTTATAAGATATTTTTTCTTTACAGTTTAATGATATTAGCATGACAGATAATTTTAGGGCACACAAATACATATCGCATCCTATGTATATGTTTATATCCTGGAAAAAAGTTCAATCTGTCATCTAAAGTCTTTTTTGATATTATCAGATATCCAGACCTTGGAATAAGCAGGCTAATTGTCCTGCACTAGCTGCCTGAGACAGATATTTTGTCCTTCACCATATGCTGTCTCCTGTATTCCCACACTAAGATTGCGCCACTGACATGGACATTTAGGGAGCGTATCACTCCTTGTTGTGGAATCTCCACACAAACATCTAACTGGCTAATTAGGTCAGCCGGAATCCCCTCCTTCTCATTTCTAAACAGATGTCATAAAAAATTAATGTCATGAACATTCATGAACAGATTTATCAAATAAGATGGTAATTTGAATTTGAATGTGTGAATAAATAGATAATTCTAATTCTGGTAGACTGGCCTAGTTTTGTTATGACAAAGGGAATTCCGTGCAAAGGTAGCATCAGAATAAGGAAATATTGATAAAGTAATATGAAACTGGCAAACAAGGAGCAATCAAATCAGCAAGTATAAAAAATCAGCAATGATGCTGTAACATTTTTCTCTTGTACTGGAGGTCATATGAATGAATTGGGTGACCCAAAAAATGTTCATGGACAAACACAGAAGCTAACAGAAAGATGGATGTCGTGATCAATAGAGAATTGCACTCTGAGAGTAATTTAATAATTTAAAAAATGTTTTCTCCTGGAGAATTAAAATTTAACAAAGAAATAAAACTGTACAATACCCTAACAGGAGAAGCGTCTTGGCTGGGAACTTGAAGTCATTAAGTGAGACACTGTTAGCTGTTTGCTCCACCCCGACCAAGGTGTATCCCTGAGATTTCTTCTGTTGGAAATATTCTGGGAGATGGACAGAGAAAACCTACAACAAAACAGTTTGTTTGTTCAGACATTGAATAATTTTATCTGTGATGCTATGAAAAACAAAACGTACACTACTGGATGCTGTTTCTTTTTCACAAATACAACTCAAATGCTTAATGGTACTTGGATTTCACCATTTTCCATTGAACAACAATTTTGTTTTTTTTCCCTCAAACTGAGCATATAAATTTAAAAGATCAATAAACTCAAAATTTTATTAACTTTAGGACCCACTGAGTCCAAACAAAAAGTTGGCCAGATTAGCCAATCATTTGATATAATCAACTGAATTTCCTGCAAAGAACTTAAAAAGTTTACACTGTATTAGACAAGACTTCGGAATTCACAACATCTGTAATAGTCAAGTTTCACTGTAGTTATACAGTGCTACACTAACCTCTCTGATGGGAACCCATTTATGAGCTGAGACACTGAGAGTCTGAAACACCTTGTCCTCCACATACTTCAGCTTGTTCAAGACAAACTCGGACACTCCAAAAATTTCACTGGTTCTGCAAAGTCCTGTAAAATTTAAGAACAAACTTGTACAAATCTCAGAAATCACAGCTAGCTACTGCCATTATTATAGCTCTTTCATTACACACTAACCTCCCAGATTAGGCACCTTGTCAATCAGCGATGTCACCAGGATCAGTCCTTCAGAACTGTGACGACGTTTGGGATTTTCCATGTCTCCTCCAAACACATCGTCAGGATTCATTAGTTGCCATGGCATGATCTTTTTCTGGATATCTCCTGATGTTTCTTCAGATTCACTGTCATTTTGGACTTAGATTAAAATATAAATACACACTGTATTTCACAGTTTATGTAAAAATCTAGAATCTGATTGGTTGACACAAATAACAAAAAAAAAACCCCATATTTTTATCCCCTAATTGTCTTCATGGGTTATAGCCATGCATTACACAGCAATGCAAAAAATTAAGAAATTGGCATGAGTAATGTCCATGCACTAACAATTTATCATAGTTTTGAGCACAAGTTTATCAGCATTTGGAGATTGAATGCAGATATTTACTCCATCCCAAAATGTGTTGTGAAAGCAAATAAGGAAAGAAAAAGTGTACATATACATGTAGTAATACTGCAGAAGTACTTTTTTCCGCGTGGTATTAATTTACGCTTTGTACGCGGATACAATTTCTCCGCGGAAATTTGTCCCATCGTACTCAATATACGTGTAAGGAATATACTGAGAGTTCAAGAAATCCGCATAATTTTATACCCGCGGACTAAAGAGAAAAAGAGATTCCGCGGAATTATGACCCCGTGGAAAAAAGTATGTCTACAGTATTTTGTACATTCATTAGTGAATTTAATTCACATTTATCTACAGTGCTAATTATCAAGGGTATTAAATAAAATTGTGGGTAACAATTTCAATTGCTATTGTTGATGGATGCTTTGAGCGCCAAGGGTTGTTTTCTAGTGAGACTTTTTATAGTTGACCAGGATTCTGTACAAATATTCATCATACATGTTTGCCCAAAGATAAATATTTAAATATTGCTTTAGTCAATTTGACAGTTACATTAAGCAATATTTACTAACTTAAGGTACTCTTACAAAAAATATATCAACCAGAATGCATTTTGATTCTTAACTGCTTGACTGAAAACAAATATGTGCTGATCTACTTGTATGATTTCAAGTGTTCAGAGTCAGAGAAATATTTGACCAATCCTAACCTTTTAAGCACTGAGTCTTCTCCTCATACTTTTTAAAAGTAAAGTCTGGATTTTTTAAGGGTATGTAGGAGGTTTTTGGATACATATCAAAATAGTGGGGAGAAATCCACTCATCATCAAACAGCAAGCTCAGGCAAGGCATTGTGTGGAATAGAGTCTGAAAATAAAATGGTTTTATCAATGTGAGTAGGGTAATTTCCTCAAAATTATCATTCAAGCTTTTTGAGTTGAAAAAAAGGGCTATGGGACAACAACACTCATCTTGGTTAACTAGTTACCCTAGAGAGATTATTTTAAAATTCCTCTTTGGGGATCACATTTGCCGTCTTAGAAAAGTGCAAGATATTAGATTGTAATTAACTTTTGTGAAATTATATGTCTCACATGATGTAAGAAAGGGAAATAACACACTATTGTTCAGTATCAAAACCCATATGTAAAAGTAACAGGAGTAAATGGCTGTGTCTACATTCACATCATGTTACAGTCTTACCTCCACACTATAGTCTCTGTGGATGTCAAGGTGAGCCAGAAAATAGTCCTCCCGCAACTTCTTCACATTCTTTGATGTATTACTGTAAACAATTAAATAGAAAATACAAGTACATGTAGTACATGTACATGTAGCAGTAAATTGAAAGTCAGATAAAAATTATTGAAAAGCATGCTTGTTATGATCAGTCCTACTAACAAACAAGAGACCAAAGGGCCGCCTAAATAACTTCACCGTATTGTTCTTGAGAATGAAATTCTGATTCCAATTCTAATGCAGAGTTACATGTAAATTTCATCCAGACTAATTCATATAATATGAGCATGCAGAACATATCAATCAGCTCTGCAATAAAGCAAACCACTTTTAAAAGAACTCAACAATTCTGTTATATATTAAGAATGCTACAGTCTATGTAAAATTATTTAAACTTAAAAATTAACAAGAACAATCAGTGTTCATATGAAAAAATTCATAAATTTAAGACTTAAGCGATCCGTGGAGAAAAAGCGACATAGAATTTCATACTTGTCTTCAACAAGTTGGATAAAGCAGACTTCAATAATGCCATGTCGATTTATGACTCCCTGGAGATTCAGTTTCTTACACTGGCCCCATAGCAAAGACAAGACAGCCAGGGCATGGATCCGAGTTTGGAAGTGGTGGGCCAAACAGAGAGGCAAAATCTTAGATAAGGCAGTGTCATAAAACTTCTCCTGAAAACAAGGTACTTAGCTTAAGATTAAGGAAAACTTGTATAACCTGGTGAAAACAAAAAAAGAAGCTTTCATCGAGAGCATATTTCACTGATATAGTTTTTTAGAATATGGCAAGGAGTTCAATATGAAATGATGGCCAAGTAAATAAAAAATTCTACCTGAGATGCTGTGGTTTGCAGAAGTCCAATATGAGAAGTGATTAACATTAGTGAGGAGAGGCCTGGGGTACTCTTCTTCTGAATCTGGAATATTGTCATTTGTTGATAGTGAGAAAATATGATAATACAAACATGATTACCATAATGTTCAAATATTGAAATCATTAAATTTCTCCACAAAAGAATATGATGGCCACCTTCACATGTACACACTATACACATACAATGAATAGCAATTTCAAAATGCTTTCTTTCTTACAATCTGTATAGTTGTGTGGAGTGTAACTGTGAATTTGTAAATTTTTTTGTGCATTATGTACACCGGATGAAATGAAAAACAAAACATACCACAGCAAATGCTGACCACAAATTTGATACAAGGTTTGGAAATCGACTAATAAGCCGCATGCACGCCCACTCCTGGTAATGCCTTACAGATGGCTGCATCTCTACACTGAGAAAATCAATCAGCTGGGAAAATATAACCTCACTTTCTGTCTGAAATGAAAATATTTATACTAAGAATGAAATTTATTTTACGACATGTATAGGCCTATATATACTGTATATATCTGTTTACAGCAAAACTCGGTTATAAAGACGTCACTGGGACCTTTGAAATTACTTCGCTATATCTGTAATTCGTTATAACCGTTTATGAAATTCATTAAATTTATATAATGGGGGATCCACAATGACTTCACTATATCTGTAAATTCTAAACGAGTTTCACTGTATTCTCTATAAATAAACTTTACAATACAGTCAATCTTATCATCTTTTACTTCTTGCTGATTAATCAAAGAAGAAATACGAAGATGAAATTAAACGATGTCAATTTTTTTCCCAAACACCCGTAATAATTTGATGACTGACCTGTGAAATAAATGGTTCTAAGAGCAACACACACTGCATCAGTCTGTTTTTCTGACGATGTGGTAACGAGTTGCTATAAGTGTTCCCACTGGATATTGTCACCAAGTCCTGGTATTTCGTAAATATAGCTGACAAGAGGAGGTGTCCAAAGCTGTTATGGAGGGAGTTCTGAGGATCTAAATGACACAGGAATTCTACAAGTCTGACTTTCACCATCAGATTCTTGGGAAACCTAAAAGAAACCAAGGAGACCAGGAATGAAGACATAGCAATAAAAGTTTTAGTTACATATACCAGGTAGGCCCCCATCCCAATCTTGTGAAAATATTAATAAGAAGTATCAACTTTATTTCATTGTAGAAAATAATTGTGAAAAATGCATTCTAATATCAATTAAGAGCAATTTAATTCATAGTTTTAATCTTCATTTGATCATAATTTTATTAGAGAATATTTACTTCAACGTTTTTCCTGCTACTAAGTGATTAATATCCAAGTTCAGTTTTACCTTTGACCATTGACTAAATTACCTTAAATTTATTACATGATTGGGTTATCTACTCCTTGAGAAATTCAATTAACAAAATGTCAGCTATTTGATTTTAAAGCAAGTAAAAGTTTTTTTCATTCTGTTTCCTAATAGATCACAAGATATATACACAGAGATGTCAATTACCGGTATTAAAAATGCTTCTGATTAGAACACAAATTAATTACAAAAGGTTAGTTCACCCTTGTATTCTTACCAAGGTTGGAGTTCATTGCTGGTTAATTTGGATCCTAAAGATGATATGTAGCTGAACACATCAATCAACTGTCTACAATTCAGGAAAAAAAAAAACAAAACAATATTATGTACAGCAACAAAAGAACTGAAATCATGAAACTTTCTATATTGTATTGTAAAAGTTTAATAGTCTAAAATAAAATATTGCTTCACCAAATTCTGTTACCATTGCATATTGTTTTCAGTTCAGAATCTATCACTGGATGTAATGCTAAGCACCCCTACTAATGCATCAACCTTTTGTTTTTTGAAATTTTGATATTTAAACATAATATTCAACTGAAATTTTAAAATGCTCCCCCTGTTTCATCAACTTACTTATCCTGTTTTTTGTAGACAGGTCCAAACATACAGCATTGGACAAGGACTGGAAGGAAATTCTCCATTGGAACGGGGCAGTCTCTGATCAAACGATTTAACAACACATTTACTACCCCGCTTTTCTCTTCACCAGTCTCCATAAGGTCATCACTAATCTATTAAAGACCAACATCTTAGGTACAAAGAAATAAAAACTGGTCCATTTAAACTTTTTTTAAAAAATCCAACTTTTTCTTAAGTAACATACACATACTTATTTTCTTTGAATATCAAAGTGTTATTTTTTTTAAATAGTCTAAGTTCAAATAAGTACATTTCTTGCTTTAATGCATGTAACTCTTATTATTGTAAAATGACTTCAGTTAAATGAATTGAACTAACATGAAAATTCTAAATATTCAGTGAGAGCAGCATACGTTATAACCTTACTTTAGACAATTGTGTTTGTAAACACTGGCATGGCCTATAGCTCTGTTAGTGTTAATGTTTTATTGGGTGTGCTTATTACCTAACACAGCTCACATCAAGTAACTTTGGTGGTTGATTCTATTTTTTTCAATCTCTTTTCTGATTTTTACTGCTTATACATTTTTAATATTTTTTATAAATGCACAGATTTTAGGGATTTTTTTTAATTTTTAGATTTAAATCATGCTTTTATAATACATTAATATAAACTGAAATGCTCTTGCAACAGTCATGTTATTGTAGAGTTATGATATGAAATTAAAATCTGTGTCTAAGTCCCTTGAATAGTTTGTGTACTTGTAAGAGTTGATGTGTAACAGGAGAGTCCTTAGACTGTGTGGTCAGGGCTCTCTGGAAGGCCATTTCTGTGTAAGCCTCTAAGTACTGCCAGTAACTGGTCCCTTTTCCTTGACGTTCCTTTAGATAAGCCCATGTGATTCTAAGCACTTCTACTACTGTGTCTAGTTTTCCTTCATCTACCTTCTGAAAAACAGTAGGAGGTAATATAAGAAAATAACCTTTTTTCTTACATGCTTGCAATAATTGTGACAATAAATATTATTAGAACCTTCCTCAAATGCTAAGAGAAGATAACTTTACAATTGATTTATCACTTTATTTTCCTTACAACAATTCCATCTTCAGTAAAGAATGGTAACAAATATTCCGTCATTAGGTACTATTATTTTGCCAAAATTTTAGCACTATTTTGTTAAAAAATGTCAAAATTTAGAGGAATGTTGCAATTTATGAAATATCTAAAATTGATATTAATAGTAGAGAGAATAACAACGTACCATTGGCAAAAGGAGCTTGATACAACTGAAGATGATAATCGTGGCCTCCCCTGAACTGACTGCCAAGTATTCCAAACACTTCTCAATAGTGACAAAGGAGTTGCATGGATTGGAATTCTTTAAGAGGAAAAGGACAATTTGCCATTGGCTGGTCATGAAGTCTGATGCCATTCTTCCCCATTCTTTCTGGCTATTAATGACCAAGAATAATAAATATTAAATCAAATACCTCAGCATAAGTCAATATGGCTACAAAATTAATACTAAGAGTAAAAAAGAACTAAAAAGTAAATAAACTAATTTCATTTATCTCAGGCACTGACTAAATTTTAGGAATTTTAATTCAGCATGACCAACCTCTGAATTCTGCTTTGCATACTTAAGTAAAGTTTTACCTAATACAGGTATCAGAGTGGGGCTTTATAAATGTGGCTGGAATAAATGAGGCTGAAGACTGGACCTGTGTGAGTAAATGTCTTAGTAGCTTCTGATCCGTGACATGCTGGGCAATCGTTCCCAATATCATACTAGCTCCCAGCCGCTTAATCTGCTGTTCTACACTGTCCTGTCAAAGTTAAAAACCAGAATTAACATGTAGCTAAAAATATACCTCTTAAAAACAATTCAAAATAGAGGATACATTTTCATTTAATACCCTTTAATTTTATTATTAATCTTAGGGGACAACAAAATTCTGCAGTTTCTCCTTCATACCTGTTTCAAAGTGTGCAGAAAATGAAAACATCTCCCAGACAATTGTTTTGTTGCTTCTCCAACATTAGCATCAAATGACTTGCTCACAACCAATGACAGTGCATCACAGCAAAGGTTTACTGAAGGGAGATCACTCATCTTAAAAAAATATTAGTAAAAAAATATTCCAAAGCCAAGATACATGTAAATGTATTTTAAAACATTATAGACAGATTCTATACTCACTTGTTTCCATCCCTCTGTGAGCTGCTGCTGTATAAATAAGATTCCTGATACAGCTGCTGTGTTCATGAAAGACTTAATAAATTGGCTGACTTCATCTTCTGAAATTATACAGGACTTCCATGTAATAGAGAAAAAAATTGTTTAAAAAAGTAGTTTTAAGTGTTCTAGATAATGCCTGTATAAATTAAATGCACTAGTTTATTTACCAGTAATCTCATGGTACTGATCACCACTTCATCAAACAACAGATTTACTGAGGTAAGAGGGAATCGGACAAATCCTTAAAAATGGCTTACAGCAAAAATTGTTTATATTCAAGTGCCATGGATGGGAAATTTTGAGTCATTATGAACACATTTATTTCTGGAAAGTTCATAATACTGGTACATCTTAAAGCTTTAATTACTATTATAAAGAATGAAATCAATTTGCCATACCCATGAATTCTTTATAAGCATGTTTGCTGTAATTGACACGTTTTATTGAACATGTCTTTGAGGTCTTTACCTAATGAATCTCCAACTTCTGCCATAAGGCCCACCATTAGTTCCAGTGCTTTTTCCACCTTGACTGATGACATGTAGGGATGGGTAGGGAAATCATTGATGATCTTAGTCAGTGATTGTAGTGTGTGTGTTAGGGAATATGTCTCCTGTTCAGAGGAAGTCCTCAGTGGCAGGATGTCTGCATCCACAGACAACAGTATCAGACGACTCATCATCAAAATGTCTCCTTCATCTGTAACACTGTCTGTAATAAAATAATATATAGTTTATGCAAATTTCTTTTTTTAAATGTTTATTTATAAGTAACTGGAAAAAAATTGAGAACATGTAAAAAAATTTTGATAAAATTTCTTAAATTCCATTAGAAGTTTTCTCATTGTAGGTAAAAAGGTACTCAGTTGAATGTCTTGAAATACAAACCCTCTTTGATGGTCAGTAGCTTTACAGTTTGGTTTCTGATGCATGATTTGATGTCATCTGCAGTCCAATTCTTAAGTCCAAGATTTGTAATGGTCTTTAGCCAATCAGAAACCTCCTTCCAAAAACAAGTTCCTCTACACAGACTCTCACTTCTAGTGAACATGGTGAGGGTGAAGAAAAATTCAAGAGGCTGAACTTTTTCCTGGAAAATAAAATGATAAAAACATGAAATACTTATTTTCTTCCATTTGTACACATGACACTTTTTTAATTCAGATCTTTGAACTTTTGACAACGAATAAATTACAATGTTTATAAGATTCAGAAGAATCTTTCCACAGAAGCACAACATGGCCCCCCTAGTAAAACTGTCCCAGGTTCTTGTCTCACCAGTTACACCATTTCTGTAAAAAAAATTGAATTAAAAAAAAAAATCTTTATCATATAAGGCTTGATATATTAAAGTGTGCCCCAGAGAAGATAAAGTATTATCTAAGACTAATACTTTGGGACTTGGAATAAAAGTAAAATATGGAACACCTTGTTTGTTCAATCTGTACCATCTGTAAAAAGTTTCTGAACTGAATGGAGAAATAATATTACTTGAAATCTTGAAGTCCAGCTGAATCCAAGATAGGAGTAGCTGGAGTTTTTGACAGAGCCTCAAAAATCATTAATAAGGGCACTGGGCTCCAAGTGTTGTCTACAATTGTTGTCAGGATTCTCCTGAAGAAAGATGCTGAAAAAAGAGTCAAAGTGGGTAAAGCCACAATAAATAAATAATACTTATTGCTCTGGTTCATTTCTATCACATATACACAGCTCATTTAGATAATATAATTTCTATACAGTAAACTAACATTTATTTCATATCAAATGTAAACAAGTGTTCATCTTAAATCTTATCTATACAGTTAACAAGTTGAAAATGTGTAGAAATGTTTGCAGAAAAAATTCTTGGATTTTTTTTTCACAATTGCAATCTACATATTTTATCAGAAATCTAGACTTACTTTGTGCAGATGGATTGTCCAGGACTTGCCAACAGTTTTGGAAGAACCCTGCGAGTGCCTCACAACAAGTGAGACTGGATCCTGCTGGGGACCTCTCTTGTCTGACAAACAGTTTTGGCTCTTGTAGAGACAGCAAAAACTCTTCACATACATACTAAAAACAAAATGGTTTGTATGTTTATGTTGTATAGATATCTTGTCATTATATCACAAAAAGTCACTCCTAATCTTCTTATATTTGAGAAATTAGAAATGCTATTGTCTTTGAATTGGTCCAAGAAACAAATTAAACTTTTAGGTGCTCTATTGCTTTTCTTACAGCAGTGTTCAACCAATTCTTCAAATAACTTCAGTCATTAACAACTATTACCTTCTCCTGGCCTTGTTTCAGCATTGGACAAAACCGGAGGTCTAACTTTAGAAGTACATCCACAGTATACCTCACAATAAAGATATTCTCATGCATCAGAAGTCTCCTGAAAATGGCTGTAAGCCAGGATGAATGTAGAGACCCTTGACCTATGACAGAAACAATCAATTTTTTTTTTGTTTTTACTATTTATATTCATAGGTTTAATGGTGAAAAAAATTGTTAGAAAAGGAAAACTACTTAACATACCATTCTGATCAATCTGTGTTGCTTTTATGAGTTTAGATAATCTGGGAAGCACTGGTTTAATGATGTGAACCTGCAGGAGAGAACGTCAAATATCAATGAAAATATTGCCTAAAGTACTCTATGCATGTTTTACACTTATAAAATCATGCCATTAGTACATGAAAATAAAGGTATATAGAAAAACTCTCTTTTTCAAAATTCTTTTTCTAAGCAAAACAGTTTATCAATAGAAAATTTTAAATGATAAAAAATCCTCATCATGACACATCTCAATTCAATGATGTCTAATGGTAAGAACAGGAAACTGCAAGAAGACTACATAATATACAAAATATGTGAGAAATTTTATTTCATGAATGATGCTTCTAGTGATAATAAATTCCTCAAGTATTTTAAAGAAACTAAGTGCTTCAATTGCTTCTAACAACAGAATAACAATTCACATTAAACCTGCTCATCATTCAACAATAAAGATTACTAAACTAACCTGTTTTTCTTCCAAGGTTTCTAGAATTAGTATATAGTCCTCCCAGACCTCCATCAAATTGTCTTTTGGTTTCCAGTGGAACAAGGTTTCACTTTGAACACTAATGTTACAGGAATGACAGATGTCAGTCACCCTCTTCAACAGGTACATCGTTTGTTTCCGGGAGGAGGGTGATTTTCGACTTACTCCTTGCTGAATTATTCTCCAGAAGTCATCCTTACATTTCAGATCAAAAACTACAGTGTCATTCACCACAGGAAAGAAATGGCCGGCCATACCACAAAGTACAATGTATGGCTTTTCATTCCCTTCATCAAACTCTTTGCAAATTAATTCCCAAACAGCTGAAAGTTTATCAAAATTTTCACTGATACATATATTCATCATATTCTTTAGGAAATTTAATGCCAAGTTTATGAGTAAATTGTCCTGCATACACTTTATAGAATGAACAACACAGAAGTATGCCTTTAGGAGTTTGTTCTGTATAGAAGTTAAGAATTGGTTTACCCTATGTTTGGACATATGCTGTAAAACTGACACACAGCAATAAATGTCCATGGACTCTCCGTCCTCGGATATCCAATCAGCCCCCTGACTGTAAGATGTCAAAATCCGCAAACACTGGTCAATCAAATCAGTCACCCTGGTCTCCTCAGCCTTCAATAGACACGCCCCACAAAGGGAGCTAACTGATGTCAGCAGAGCTACATTCTCTACATTACTGTCATATGAGGGATGAATCTTAAACAGGAGTGGGAGGCACACCTCATCTAAAACTCTATGAATGCAATTAGTGTCCACATCTTGTTCTGTTGAGATGATGCCTTCCAGTAAATACAAGAGATCACAGAATTCTGGATCTATTTTGTTGTCTTTTTTCTTTTTAACCTGCTTCACCAACAGTTCTATGAGTTTAATAGAACTAATAGACTCTGCAGCTATGTCCTTCACTGTCAGGAAGTCCATTTTCATTTCATAATCTGTTCATATAAATGAAAAACTTTTTATTTAGTACATAGATTAAGGAAAATAAACATATTAGAATTTTAAGCTTGCATTAATCAGAATTTAAACAAAGAGAATTATATTATCTAGTTAATCTTGCATTTTTTGCCATGATTGTAATTTATATTTAATTTATGTGATTTCTGAGCAACGAAAAAGCAACAAAAATGATTATAATATGTTATCAGATTCCAACAATGTTATCAGAAATGATGAGCAGGTGAAGTTTGCTCATATGTAGGAAGTTCTATCATCTACAGACTAATGTGCAAGAAAAGAAGAAATTAGAATCGAAAACTGCACCCTGTTAGATTTTTTTTGTTCCACTTCTAAGGATTGATTCTATTCTTGAGATAGATCAGGGGGATTTTCCCCCCCAATATTTTTTTTAACAATTTGCACTCATTCAAAATGTTTAATTAGACACCTACCATAATCAATTTACTTTCTTTCAAATATGCAAGCAAATCAGGATGTCATGAGAATTGAACATTGTTTTACACAATAAATAAAAAAAAATTACGAGACAGTCAAATGAATCGATCCTCTAAGCTAGGCTGGGATGCCTTGCAATATATTATTCTAAAATCACTACCCCCTAAATTGCCACCAGTATTGACTGAGTATTAATTTGGAGTTCGATATCTTATGTGAAAACAGAGACAGAAATATTTGTGTCTCTGGTTAAAATTATAGTATTCACTATTTGGTTAAACATGTAAAACATGTTATAAAGTCTTGAAAGTTACTGTTAAATTTATCAGAGACTGTTTTGAACTTAGAAGTCAATTACTTGACAAATCTTGAAAAAAATTATGTAAACGTTATTATTTAATGATGTTCAGTGGGCCTTTGCCAATTACATGTATTGTAATTGTGTTTGTGCCAATAAAGTATTCAGCTGGTATTTGTATTTGTAACAAGAATAGATATGGGTTACCCCATATCCAAAGATATTCGACTGTTAGATTTAATATGTTTAACAGTGTTTATAATGACGTTAATAAAAAAAACTGCACTGTCTAATTATGGAACTGTTGTAAATTTCGTGATTCCATAGCATTACGGTCACCCAGTCTCCTAACAAACAGTACACATAGGCCTACATGTACCTGTGTCCGCAAGACCAATTTTAGCCTTGGTCTACACACGTGCAATGGAGCTGTCACACGCATCCAGCGAGCATCAAAGTGTCGGAAAAACACGTTTTGTTTTGCCGAGAAGTTACGGTGTCAGACAAAACTTTTCTTTTCTTAATTATAAATCATATAAATACGAATTCTGATTAATAAAAATTATACAATCCCTGTTGAATTTTATATAGTTTGTCCTAACATTTTCATCTGCAACAACTTGTGATTAAAATGGCCAGGTTGGGAAAATCAGGTCCGGGTCGGAAAATTCTAAACTGAAAACATGGAAAACCTTTTTTGTTTTGAAAATAACTGAAATATACTAATGTATTTGTCGCAGAAATCTTACTTACATTATTCAAGTTCTATATATAATGGTAAATGCTGAACTTCAACACGAACCCGAATCTCCAACCCAGTTCTCGTTTTGCCACACATACCCTACAGTTTACAAAGTGTACACACGAGCAGGCCAGGGATTGAAAATTCCGTCATTTAATAATACACATACACAGTATGATTAATTTTTTCTTTAAGAACAAATTGTATGATAATTAACGGGCTATAAACATGTACTTAATACAATTGTTGATATAGTATTATCAATTCATCGGTGAAAAGATATTAATCGAAGAATGACCTAATTATTCTCTGTTATCAAACATGTGCAAAAAAAAAAAAAAAAAGGTTTTTATTCACATAAAAAAAAAAAAAAGAAAAAAATGTGAGGAAGCGAGCGTAGGAATATTGAGGAGGGAAGCGAGCGTAGGAAAATGTACCCTGAAAGCACACTAAAAGATATTTTTTATTTGCATTTCGGGGGGAAAGTGACTTTCTAATGATATTTTGACGTTATTTTTGATTTCTTTAACGTATGACATACACAACTAAATACTCTTATCATGAACAATAATGTTGTATCTACTTATCATGATGGAATTATTTTGGTCAATATGTGTGAGCTGCCGCTGAATACAGTTATATATCTTGCAAAGATAGTATGCATTGATCGAATATATGAAAATCAGTTATTAAAACCAGATTGAGTACCGGGTAATTCTGATGACTAAAATCACAGACAATACGTAACAAACTTGTAGGGGTTTTTATAGAGAGTAATTAATTTGTGTTTACCTGATTATGACCAAGATAAGCAAATGTTTTGAGTAATCATTTTGCTCTCTTTAGCACAACAAATGCACGTGGAACAAATGAAGAATATATTTAATAAAACGAAAATACTCAAACTCTTGTTAATTTGAGAATAGTTAGCCTCATAGGGTATATAGAAAATAAAGTCAAATATACATTATATTATGTATAGATAGTAAATTGTGTTAGTTGTGCAAAAAAGTTATAAAAAGAAAGTAAAAACATTTTTCGTTTTGTAAATAGTGAAGACAACCGTAAAGTACTTCCTATTTCCGGTTAAAATGGTAAGAAGTTTTGACAACTTTTGTGAAATTTCCGTTAGGTTTTTTTTATCGTCCTCATATTTTCCTTCATTTTTTATGTTCTTAGAAATTATTACAGTATTGGTCTTTATAGCAATTTTCACTCCGATTAACCGATTAATTGCACATATTTTGTTGAAAGGGGGAGGGGCATTTCCTCGAATTTCCTCTGGCCTTTGATGGCATACAAGACAAATGTGTAGAATTCTGTGTTAATTGCTAAATATTTTACGTCGATATACAGGCCTTACTTTTCTTTGGAGTTTATCTCATGGACAGTTAATTCATTTTCGTTTAAAAATCCTGTAGAACCAGAAACTCTGATAATTTTCTAATTCAATGTTTTTAGATTTGCAGAAATCAATAAAATTCTCCTTTAATTCCATCGTAATTTTTTTTATTTACTTAGTTATATTCTGCTATTACCTGCAGATAGTGATTATGCTTCCCAACATAGTCAATACTTAGAAAATGCTCAAAGTTTAAGTAATTTTCAAATTGATACCATGCTACTGACAAATAAATTGATGTAACATGACAACCCTATTTCAGGCAACAATTCTTGAATTCTTTGATTTTTTAAATATGTTTTATTAAATATTAAAAAGTTATTAATATATGTATACATGTACATCTGTTGTAATTTTTTTTTTTTTTAGTTTATGTTATGTCTGTGTGGGGAAAAGTTCTAAAAATCTCTTTATTAATAAATTTGAACTAAGGAATCTCTAATATGTTTGTAATCTGAATTATTTACCCTTATGTTATTTATTAGGATAAGATTTGTTGAAATAAATTGAAAATGAAGTTTAATTATTTTATAATCAAGGCATTTTTGTTTCCTGCATAAGTTTTTTTTTCAGATTTACTAAAAAATACACAAGTACATGTACTTACATGTATTAGACATCATTTTTATTAAATATAGCTATATTTACAAGATAAAGATATATATAGATTTTATTTCCTGATTTGATTATTTTCACTTTAGGCACAAAATGTTCAGGTCTGTGATATACCAGCAGAGGTTGTTGACAGGTTGAAGAAATTCAGATTTAGAAAGGAGAAAAATGTTGCTGCCATAATGTGTGAGTAGACAGTCTGTTGTTATCAGGATTGTCCTTAAAACACAGGAGTCGAGGAATTTTCTCTGGCTATAAAGATGAAGTCCCCCAGTTATTTTGGTATTCCTCCTAAACTCCCCTCTTTAGGGGAGAGACATCCGATTCTCTTATAATTTTTAAATGCCCCCTTCTATTTCAATTCTTATGGACAACCCTGTGTTATTTTGAATTGTCATTCGAATTGCATAAGGTTCAAGGTTACAATTTGCATGGGATGTTTTATTTGTTGTTTACGAACTTGTTTGCCTCTTTTAAGAAACACTTAGTATATTCTATCATTGGTTATTTCCTTCAGGAAAAGTTTTAAGTCATATTCGAAGTATGGATCAATGTGGGTTATAAAGCATAATCTCTATGAATTTTGAATGTTAAAATTTACTAATGTCAGTGTACATGTTAAAATTGAATATTTATATGTTAGTTGATTTAAAGACTTATCAGTGTTTTTGTTTGTTTTGAACATATTTTATTGACAGTAGGTCAAAGAGATTGGACACAAGTTCCAAAAACTTTGATAGTCCTCTCTCACTTATCATTGAGCTATTTCCTAAGTTTTTACTGCATGTTGTGGGCTGTGGTCCATTTACTCTTAACAACAAAGCAAACACTTGTGTTAATTAAAAATTACATGTATTACTGTTATTTTTATTTCAGTGAAAGTTGACAAAAATAGTAAGAAAATTATCATTGAAGAAGAATATGAGGTAGGTGGTCACTCACAAGGTATCTCACACCAACTGCAGACATGTTTTTTGTCACTTCTTTCTAAATACAAATGTACTGATACCAGCATAAGTTTTCTCAACAATTTTTTTTTAGTAACTGCTTACTCCCTTACTTTCCGGATCACATACCCAAATACTGGAATGTTTTTTATTTATTACATGAAACTCTTAACATCCTTACTTGCATTTTGTGATATTTATATATAACATCTTCACAATTTCTATCTTCATCAGATATCAATGGATGTTCTCGATTTTTACACGATGAGATCACCTGTGGGTATCTGATGATTAATTTCTATTCAGTAAAAGATTCTTATAATGAGGTTCTAGAGGAGTAGAGAATTTTTCTTTTTTATATTAAGCATAGTCCTCTGAAATAGCAAAGTTTAAATTATAATATTTTAATATTGACTTTTCTGAATTGTGATTTTTTTGGATTGAAATTTGTCCATTTGTTTTTGTCGTTGTTGTTGAAATTTTTTATATATTTATCTACTTCTCTAGAACCAGTAGAGCAATTTCAACAAAAATTGACACAAAGCATTCTTGGATGAAGGGTATTCAAGTTTATTTGAAAGAAGAGGTGCCTTCACTCTCTATAAAGGGAGATAATTATGAATGAAAGAAAATTTATGTCATCTTTCAAAAATCTGATGGAAAAAGTTGAAACCTAAGTGAAAGTTTCATTACATATTATAAATTTAAGTTCAAATCATGACCTCTTGGGTAGGATGGGACCACAAAGGGGATCAACGTCTTATTAGGAATATGTAGGAAATGTCTTTAAAAATTGTATTCCTAAAAAAAAACAACAAAGAAATGATTAGTCCTCATAATATAGAAGTATTCTCATTTAAAATAAATGCAAATTTGTACAAATCATGACCTGAGGGGATAGGATGGCACCACAACATATCAAGGTCATGGAGGAGGAGGGCTGGGTGGGTCCAAATCAGGGGAACAAAGTTAACAAAGTTATTCATTGAAATAGTACTTAATTATTCATGTAATAAATACAGTAGCATTTCTAGGTATTGTTGTATATACAATTTTGTGTAAATCATTTGAATTTCTGCAGGATTGTAATGTAGATGACCTGCAACCAGAGTTACCAATTTCCCAGCCTAGATACATTGTAATCAGCTATGTTAGACATCATGATGATGGTAGGGTGTCTTATCCGCTCTGCTTTGTCTTCAGTAGTCCTTCAGGTCAGTATACTAGTAGTTCTGTTGCTATGGTGATGATCATGTGGCATCACAAATGTTAATTGCTAAAATTACAATGTATAAACTCAATCCCAATGCTGTAAACATGAATGATATTTTTATGAGATAAACTTTCATCACTTCCATGTAGCAAAGCCCTGTTGGGGTTATTTTTAATGAGAGGGGGGCTTGATAAAGATATTTCACACTGTTAGCTTAGACTGGATAACATGGCATCATAAATAAAGGAAGGATAAAGGCCCTCAGAGGTAGAATTTTGGTACATAACACCAGTGTCTGAAATAAGTGTGAGCTGACTGCCTGAGACGCCTACATTTTGTCTCAGGCAATCAGATAAGCATGTATTGATGCCCGGCTGGACGTGTAAATATTACTGATTGCAAAGTGTAACAAGCAAACGGGTAGAATTCATCATGCAGTAACAAGCAAATGGGTAGAATTCATCATGCAGTAACAAGCAAACAGGTAGAATTCATCATGCAGTAACAAGCAAACGGGTAGAATTCATCATGCAGCCTATAGGTCTGGGATCAAATATATATAGTGAGCTGGCCCCATTCACATTGTAATGTTCTATGTAATCCGGAATTATGTTCATGATTGGTTCCAATGTATAGAATATATATAACGGAAGTAGTAATAAAATATGACAGAACCCGGCATGGTCACGGTGTGTTGTCGCATTATCCCTTAACATCATACACTGAGAACATAACAATTGGTGACGAGTAAAGTAAACGGACCCAGAATTTATGATGGATCAACTGTCAATACCGATTTTCCCGGCATTCGATGCAGAAGTGGATAAGTCAACAGTAGGCCCAAGATGGGACAGGTGGGTCGGACGTTTAGAGAATTTATTTGTGGCATTAAAATTAGTAAACCCTATTGTACCGGAAGGTGAGGAGCCTAACGAAGCTTTGATAAAGAGTGTAGATGATCATAAACGAGCGTTGTTACTGCACTACGTAGGTGAACAAACTTTTGACATTTATGAGGCTCAAAAGGGGGAAAACGAAACTACATATACAGCAACGAAGAAAGTTCTCACTGATTATTTCAGGCCGCGGAAAAACACACAAATGGAGATATACACATTGCAAACAAAAGGAGGGACAAACTTTGGATGAGTACCTCACTGAGTTGCGGAAACTCGCCAAACACTGTGAGTTTGCAAACATTGACAAGGAAATTCTGTCTCAAATAATCCAGTCATGCAGGTCCAACCAACTCAGGAGAAGAGCTTTGAGAGAACCTGATAAGGGATTAGAGGACATAATTCAATTAGGGCGCTCACTAGAATTATCGGATTCTCAGGCTCAAGCTATGGAGCGTCATGTGGATCAGACTGTAAATAAGTTACATGTTCGTAGTTCTCGACCGAGTAGTGGTGCGTCGCGAGGAGGTAAGCGTTATCAGTCAAGGAGGAAACCTGACAAACATTGTTGGAAATGTGGAGGAGTGTTTCCACATAAGGGAGACAAACCATGCCCAGCTCATAACCAAAAGTGTCACAAGTGCCAGAAAATGGGACATTTCAAGTTTGTGTGCAGGAGTAAAAAGGATACTAAAGTCAGGACGAAAGAGAAAGTACAGTTCATGAAACAGCACAAACACTCTTCATCTGAAAGTGACAGTGATGATTACTGTTATGGAATCAAAATAATGAAATCGGGTGTAAACCGTGTGAAAGGCCCATATGCTGGAGTATCCATAAACAAACACAAGCTCAAGTTACTGGTGGATAGTGGTTCATCTGTAAACATACTAGACGAAGCTGATTATGTTAAAGTAGGAAGTCCCAAGCTTCGGAGAAGGAAGGAACATTGTGAACTTGTACCTTATGGAGGTGGCAAAATACCAGTTCTAGGGACTTGTGATTTGACATTAGAAACAGAGAAGAGCTATGATATTGTGAGGTTCTATGTGGTGAAAGGTGTAAATGGATCCTTGTTGGGCTACCCCACTGCTGATAGCCTACAAATCATCAAACTGGTGAACAATGTAAATGACATCAAGAAGAAAGTGGAAGATGACTTTCCTCAGTTATTTCAAGGCATTGGGAAATTAAGGAATCATCAAGTGAAGATTCACATTGACACGACTGTCAAACCAGTGGCACAGAAGAGGAGAAAGACTCCATTTCATTTGAGGGATAAAGTTGAAAAGGAGATAAATGAACTGTTAAAATTAGACATTATAGAGAAAGTCGAAGGAGAGCCTACACCGTGGGTGTCCCCTATTGTGACCCCACCAAAGAAGGATGGAAAAGAAATCAGGCTTTGGGTTGACATGCGCCAACCAAATAAAGCCATAAAGCGTGAGAGGCATACCATGCCTACCATAGAGGAGCTCGTATTAGACTTAAATGGATCCAAAGTTTTTAGTAAACTTGACTTGCGTAGTGGATACCATCAGTTGGAACTTCATCCAGATTCCAGATATATTACTACCTTTAATACACACATGGGTATATTCCGCTACAAGAGATTGAATTTTGGTGTGTCATCTGCGTCGGAAATCTTTCACGAAACCATACGCCAAGTTGTTCAAGATATTTCAGGAGTGCGGAATATTTCAGATGACATAGTGGTTTTCGGAGCGAGCCAGGAACAACATGATATAGCTCTACGACAAGTACTGAAACGACTCTGTGAAAAAGGATTGACTCTTAATTACAAAAAATGCGTCTTCAGAACGGATCAGATATCATTCTTTTGAGTGATCTTTGGAACAAAAGGGATTTCACCAGATCCTCAGAAGGTGACAGCAGTACGTGAATTCAGTAGACCGGAGAATGTGAAGGACCTAAGAAGTTTCTTAGGCTTAACAAACTTTTGTTCTCGCTTTATTAAGGACTATGCCAAGATATGCAGACCTCTTCGGCAATTGACACACAAGGACCAAACCTGGACCTGGAGCGAAGAGTGCGAGGAATCATTCATAACACTGAAGGAAAGGTTGTGTAGTGAGACGGTTATTTCCTACTATGATCCTTGCAAAGCGGTGACAGTGCAAGTGGACGCCAGCCCAATAAGACTTGGTGCGATACTACTACAGGAGGATAAAGTTGTGAGTTATGCGAGCCGTGCCCTTACACCAGTAGAGTCCAGATACAGTCAAACAGAACGAGAAGCGTTAAGTGTTGTGTGGGCGTGTGAACATTATGATTTATATCTCAGGGGATTATCACACTTCACAATCATAACAGATCATAAACCCCTGGAAACAATTTGGAATAAACCTCAACCACCCTTGCGAATTGAAAGATGGGGACTACGCCTTCAGCCCTACTGTTGTACGATTAAATACCAACCTGGAAGTGAAAATATTGCCGACTACATTTCCAGGCATCCAGTCGGAGAATCTAAGAAATCACTGGAAGAAAACTGGGCTGAAAAATATGTCAACTTCATCGCAAAAGAATCGTTACCACAAGCTATTGACTTAGATGAAGTACGAGAAGCCACTCATAAATGCAATACCTTACAGAAAGCAATCTATTATACAAGATGTGGAAAGTGGTACGAGATGAAGACTGAGGTATTGGAAGATGCTGACGTGTGTGAATTGACAGCAATCAAGGCTGTTCGGGATGAACTTACTGTACATTCTGACAATATTTTACTTCGGAACCACCGCATTGTGCTACCCAAGAGTCTCAGACAGAGAGCTGTTGCTCTGGCGCATGAAGGTCATCAGGGTATAGCCAAAACAAAATCATTCTTACGTTCTAAAGTTTGGTTTCCTGATATGGACAGAGCTATCGAGGAAGCAGTTAGGAACTGTGCATCATGTCAAGCTCTAACTCCAGAAACCCGTTCTATGGAACCTTACAAGATGTCAGAACTACCTTACTCACCATGGGAAAACATCAGTATAGACTTTTGTGGACCTCTACCCTCGGGTGACTACCTCTTTGTCATGGTAGATGAATATTCCCGTTATCCTATTGTAGAGATAGTGAAGTCAGTATCTGCACGCTCAACGATTCCTGTACTTGACAAAGTAATCAGTACTTTTGGATTACCAAAAACTGTAAAGAGCGATAACGGCAGCCCTTTTCAGTCACATGAATTTAAGCAGTTTGCAGAGAACATGGGTTTTGTACATCGCCGAATTACTCCAAGGTGGCCCCGAGCTAACGCTCAAGCCGAGAGCTTTAATAAACCTCTTATGAAGGCGATACGCTCTGCTCACATCAATCAGCTGAATTGGAAACAGGAGATGTATAGATTTCTACGGCAGTATCGAGCAACACCACATACCTCGACAGGTCAAACCCCGTACAGATTACTTTTCAATCGAGAACCAAAAACTAAATTACCGCAAATTTCAGAAAAGACACAGGAACCAGTACTTGATGAGATGGTGAGGACACGGGACAGTGAAGCGAAACGCGTTATGAAGTATTATGGTGACCAGAGGAATCGTAGCAGAAATTCGGAAATAAAAGTGGGAGATTCTGTTTTGATGAAGAAGGAAATTCGTGGAGACAAGCTACAATCTACATACGAGCCACAGCCAAGAACAGTGTTAGAAAAGAAAGGATGTATGGTAACAACTGATAATGGTGTTACGCGTAACGTGTCGAAATTCAAGAAAATAAGTGACTCTGTTCGTAGCAGTCTTGAGGACAAAGCAATGGTCAGGATTCCAGAGGAGGATATTCGCTGGCCGAGTCCAGTTTCCATTTGTCCAGAGGTGTCCGAGTCAGATGAACAACCCAATTCTACAAGTGCGACTTTAAAGGAAAAAACTCCAGTTGTGCGCCGAAGTGGCCGAGAAAGGAAACAACCAATTAAACTGAAAGATTTTGTGTTGAAGTGAGTTAGGTATGACCTACAGTGATTGGGGCATAATAATCCCCAGTAGGTTCATAGAGCTACATAAGTTCTCAATATTGTATCATGTTATATTTTGTTGATTGAATATGTCAAGTAACATTTTATGTTTTAATGGCAATCTGACTTTAAATGAAAACCTGGGTAATCTGTGTCTGCAAATCTTCTTCTTGGATCTCTTGTGTATTCTTGATCTGTTCTACACATTGACAATTTATAATCTATATTTATTTGCTGGAAATTCTTTAAACTTTTATTTAATTTTGTTAATACCAATTTCAAAAAGAGAGGAATGTAATGTTCTATGTAATCCGGAATTATGTTCATGTTTGGTTCCAATGTATAGAATATATATATAACGGAAGTAGTAATAAAAATATGACAGAACCCGGCATGGTCATGGTGTGTTGTCGCATTACCCTTTAACATCATCCACTGAGAACATAACACACATTATAATGCTTAATGCTAAAATGAACTTATCAATGACAATTATTTTTTTCGGGCTAGTACATTTTTGGCAGGGCTGACAAGTTTCATTAGCAATCAGCCCTGCATGTCTAGCTAATTTTACAGTGAGTTTCAAACACTGATTACACACCTTAGGGGTTAATATAAGGATTATAATTCCATATTTAGGATAAAGCCAATTATGATTATATGTATTTCTTACAGGCTGTCCCCCTGAACAACAGATGATGTATGCAGGGAGTGTTCTCAGTTTAATTCAAACCCTGGGTCTCACAAAGGTAGGCAGATTCGGACAAGCTTAATGTGCTTGTAACTAATGCATGGAAGCTTGTTTCGTGCTGAGTGGTATATCTCAAAGTATAGTTTTAAAAATAGCAGGGCTTTGATGATTGCTATACTTCAGAAAAATGAGAGAGTAAAAAATAGTAAAATTAAAAGTAAAAGCATGCATAAAATATTATTTAAAAAGAATGATAAAGTTAATCTGACAGTAAAAAGTTTGACAATTGTCAGCACTTTGTCCATTTTGTTCACATTTTCACATTGTCAAAGCTGTTTTGAACTTTTTCAGTAGACAGTGACATTATTTTATTCTGCAAAACTGAAATAAAATACATGACTGATACTTTCATAAAAGTTTTTATACGTGTATTACATATATATCATTTTATTGACAGACATTTGATGTAAGGAATCCAGAGGAATTCTCAGAAGAATGGCTACTGGAACAGTTAGGCAAGGTGTAACGGATCTCAAAGAGACGTAATAATGGACCAACAACTCAGCAATATGGCTCACTCGTTCATCCAACATGAACCGATATTATACAAAAAGAACCTCCTCTTAAAGTTATAAACCCTTAAGAAAGTTGAGCCAATAACTCGCAAATCAATCAAGGCAACTTACAAAGGGACCATATTTTTTCTTTGTTGCCAACTGATATTTTATTCTTAGTCCTTTTAAAGCTTTGTTTTGTTTCATATCTAACAAATGCTTTTAGATATACATGTATCTATCCATATTTGTATAAAAATTTGTTGAAACTTAGAGTGTATTGTTTATATTGTTCACTTTTAATGTTGCCAGATTTAAAGAAATCTTATACAGTGGAGCCTCATTTATCCGGACACTTTGGTTCCCAATTGGTTCACTTTGGTTCCCAATCAATTTTTCCGGATATGTGCATCTTCGCTAGCCAAGGGTTTCTGATACGCTTCTCTCCTCATAAACCCTTGGCCTACGGTGAAATCAAAAGACGGGATTGTTTTCCGTCACGTGATCTCGAGTCTATCAGGTACGCACAGATTGCATCATCGCCAGAAATAAAGACACGTGTTAAAAAAAATTAAATCAAAGTTTTTCAAGAATAATTAAGAAGCAATAATTGAGTTACGTTTATTCATTATTTATAGAACAAATCTGAAGCTTCAATATAGATTCTTAATCACATATTTAGAAGATATTGGATGACACCATGGCTATTCATAGAATTGAATGTTATCTTACGGATCGTTGTTTTCTTGCGTTTTTCATTTCCGAGATTAAAGAGTGAAGATGTATCCCGAACGCAAATATCGTCATTTACAAAAAACAATTGCTGATTGGTCGACCTGGGTGTACTGAAATCCAATCAGAACTCTGGTAAAAAATCCTGATCTCTATGAACACCGTAGGCCAAGGGTTTATGAGGAGAGTAGCGTATCAGAAACCCTTGGCTAGCGAAGATGGGATATGTGAAGCGTCCGGATATCTGAATTACCTGTTAAATAAGACAAAATAACTTTTAAAAATTCTTTTCTGATGAAAAATCGTCCGGAAACTGAAGCATCCGGATATCTGAAGGTCCACTGTATATTCTTTAAACATGGTAATGTGCGTAAATCCTTTGATCTGCATTTTTACATTCAGTGATAATTTTCCTGTGCACATCTTTAGTCGGACATTCCATGTGGCACTGTTTGCAAAATATGGAGTAAAAAACAGAAATCAAGCTCAAAGTATACTGAAACAATACAATATGGGAACAGAGCAAACACAGACCTCTGAATACTGTCAGAGGTGGGATCAGGTGTGAATGATATGGCATTCCTTGTCAACTGGACACACGATACAATGTATGTATGTACAAGTAAGAAGGAATTTAGATTTTGAAGAGAACTGATTTAGCCATTTAGTTGCTAGAAGTCTTTGCCTCACTTTGCATCTGCTCTCTACCAAGTAAATGTATGTAAAATGAAAAATGTGTACATTTAAAAAAAATGAAAATATGATACAGGTGTGCATTTTTGCCAAGAATTCTGATGTTGACCTCAATCCTAGACAATTTTCACTTTAAGTCAATGATTTTAAATCTTTTGAAGCAAATAATAGTCAGAACAGTCATATGGTACACTTTTTTCCATAACAACGGCAACACAGTTAAGGCGAAATGGGAACACACCCCAATGAGCTTCCCCTGACCATATTTGTGCAGGAATATTGCACTGTGTGACTTAAACAGATACAGGAACTAAATTAGTACATTATTTATTCTTTATATTTACAATCTCAATAGAAATAGATGTACATAATGTAACAATAAACACAAGTCATAGTGCAGACCCTGCAACAGATGACTTATCACAGAAATAATGTCCATTTACTCTGTAACACAATAATGGCTTCACAGGATGCAGGTCCTCAATCAACCTGGGGGTTGTTCTGGAAAAGGAATTCTGCCTATAAAAGGAAAAAAAAAGCGTGTGTGTGACAGTAGATTATTCAATTAATTTCTGGTTCTGCATTAAAAGTAATTGAATTTCTCCAAGCTAAATGTACATAAATATTGAGTCAGAAATCCTTTAAAATAAGTACTAATAATTGTGTTCATGATGTACTCTATGACCACAGGAGTTTTCATACCTTTCAATTTAATGAAGTTTTCAGTAAATAAGAAAATACAGTAATATTATTATAGTAGTACCGGGTACATGTTTTTTTTCAAAATTACTAAAAATTGTGGTACAATTGATAGGATTGTCAACTCCAGTGGTATAACTGTGAATGTCAGAACAACTTACAATGTAATCAATGGGGTCATCAGGTCGAGTTTTGCAGCAGTCGATAAGGCCTTGGGTGAGAGTTGGCATCACATGCTTCATAAGGTAGTTCCTCAGTGGAATGGACTGGGCCTCCAACAGCTCAAATTCTTCTCTCTTCACTTCATTCAAACGCTGTGTCTGTTGAAATCATCAAAAATATTAAAAAATTTAAAAATAGGCCTTTCATAGAGTGCATTAGACAAACTTTTCATAAGCCTGGTACTAGCCAACAGTAATCCACCTAGTTAAAGCTTCTACTAGACTGAGATTTCTCTGAGTTGACCTCTGAACTTACCCACTCCTCCTGCCTCTGTTTACGGAGGGCTGCCTCCTCAGCTTCCTGTCTCTCCTTCTCCTGCTTCTCCTCCATCTCCTTCCTCAGGCGAGCCTCCTCCTCTTGTCTCCTCATCTCCTCAAGCTCCTCAGGGGTGGGACCTTAAAATAATACCATGTGTCATTAATCAACATCTTACCATTAAGGGCTTTCCTAAAAAAGAAAATATATATTCCTGTAACCTACTTAATAAAAACAATAATATATGAATGTGAATCATACCATAGTTTCTAGGTTCTCCAATGGTTTTCTTGATTTTTTCCACTGTGTCTCTCATCATGGGAGAATCATCCTTTGTGACATCTATTTTTTCAGGGTGGAATTCCTTCTCATCAAAGTAGTTGAGGACAGTCTCCTCATCATTATTTAGGCTGCGGTACAACTCAAGTCTCTTCATCAGCCCCTCCTCATCATTGTGGGTTCCGTGGACCACGCTCTCTGGTAGGTTCATCACACGCTGTCGTAGGAATTCGTCATTGGCCTCCAAACAAAATACATAATCCGGCATGATTGTTTTATCAAACTTTGTAGCAGCTGATTCCTCCGCATCATCCTCTTCTTCAGCTGTTGACACAGAAAATGTACGACAAAAATTTTAGTAAAATATTATGGAGGAAATTACATACAGGCTCATACAGTGTTTTTTTCCACATTTCTAGGCAGATTGACAATTATATACACTGTATGTTATACTGCTACTTACTGGCAAACAGATCATTGGCTTGTTCTATGGTTTTGGGGAATCCATCCAGAATGAAACCCTGGTTTTGACAGGGCTTTGAATGCAGTTTGTCTCTGAAGAACTTAATAACATGGGAATCTTCAATTTTTCCTGTTTCCTGGTTTTTGGATTGTTCTATTTCATTAAGGAGCTCCTGGGCGTCCTGTGCCTTCCCATCATCATCTTCCTGGTCCTCAGAATCCGCTCGCCGGGACAGTGTTTGCTGTCAAATAATATACATTATAAAATTTGTTGACTTTAAGTGAATAATTATAAAAGCAATGATAAATTGCATAAAAAAGATTTGGGTATTAGTTTGTCTACAATACAATAGATTTATTTAGATTTTGTTACTTTAAGCATGAAAATTTTCCATTTTAATTTATATATGTACTCAGTAATCATTTCCTTACCAAGATAATGTTGGGATTTATTATAAAGAACAAACATACCAGCTCCTCCATGGCTTCATCAATGACATCCTTGATTTTGATGTGGTGGAGTTTATAGAATTCACACAGTTTCTGGCAAACAGTTGTTTTACCAGAGGCAGGTGGTCCCAGAATGCAAATTCTAAGAGGCTGTTAATAAAAAAATTACATTAGTACATGTATATACATGACTGACTTTAACCTAAGTATAATGAACACTGAATTAGAAGAAAGATGATGTAAAATGGCTTTAGTACCTGGAGCTTCCTTGAGTCTTTGTACTCTTTGATGATCTGGTCAATATTCTCCACCATTCCAGCCTCTGACACCCACATAATCCTCATGTTCTCCTTCACAAACACAGCATCCATCCTCAGGTTCACCAGAAGCTGGTCAAAATCCGACTGCTGCAAACATACAACAATACCACAAAATTACGTCTCCGTACAATCATGCAAACAATGTGTTAAAGGGATGCAACTCTTAAAAATTTACAGAGACGACACATTTGAAGACTTACCTCAATATCTTTGCTGAGAAGAGCCTCCTCCTTTGTGATGTTTTTCACTTTACCTTTCCCTAGTTTTTCACTGATGGCCTAAAAAGGAGAAAAGTTATACATCAATCTGGGAAGATTCTCATAATATATCTTAAAATTTAGCTAATAGAAAATCAATTTTAAAAAATATGAATGACAAACCTTGACTATTTCTTCCAGAGTGGTTTGAGTGTCATCCTTCGCTATCAGGTAACGCACTTTTGGTCGACTGTCCGCAATATTCTGTATGACACTATTTCAAAAGAATAAATTTCTTGTAATGCAGGCTTTCGGAAAACATATAATTCTAATTGTGGGTAATTTATGACATTTCTTTTTGATGTTGCACAACATTTGTCATTCTGTACTTAGTACTTACGCAGCTAGATCTTTAATGTGAATGGTTGGCACAACATTCTGACCACCCCCAAAACACTGTAGGTATGGAGCATTGTGCCAGGCAGACTGAAAGAAAAACAAAAGCAAGTTAAATTTGTGTTACTTGATCATACTTCGTAAATATCTATTGTGAAACAAAAAAAATACTCACTTTAAACAAATAGTGAAAAATGTTTTCCTCTGCTCCATAGGTAAGCCCTGATGCCACAACATATGTCACAAGCTTAGCTTTATTCTGTGAACAAATCAAAAAATTCATTCAGTTCATATCAACTTATCACAAACATTTAACATATTCTATACTACAAAGTTAATCTATTTTGGAAATTAACTGATTTTGGATCTTAACGAGAAATTTGTTAAGTAATCTGGTGAGACTCACTGTCTTCCCTAGTTTGATAACAGTCTTTTCAGCGCTAATGTGTTCCTTAAAGTTAGGATGTGGTTTTCTTCTTCTGTAATCATCTTCAGTGAAGGGAATTTCTGGATCATCCTGAAAAGAAGATAAAACCAAATCATTTTTTCTTTCAGAACACATCAAATATATTTAATAAAAATTAGAATGACCATTGTATAATGACTTACTGGATCCAATGGTTTGCTCTTTGCCCATGTCATCACAGAAGAAATCAAAATAAACATTTTGGGTTTCTCCATCTTTTCCAGATCAGAGTGAATCTCTGTAACAGCAAACAAAATATGTTACTTACAGGATTATGGAGTTCATTGAAAGAAAAGGACTTCCATGACACTACATCCCACAGTTATGAATTAGATGATGTTCAGGATAAACTATGGAATACATTCATAGCAAAGCTTCAATTTTGTGAAAATGAAAGCATGCATTGAATACAAAGATCCACTGCATAAATGCAGAAGAACATTTCAAAATTAAAATACCAATATCTGAGGTAATAATAAATACTATGTAAATCAATTGCTAAGTACATGTACCATTACTTTTTCTCTAGAGAATGACATATGTTTTTAGTATTATTTAATTTCCCTTTTACATGCTGTATAATAATTTGGTACCATAATTTTCTTCTGTGTGTTCTTATTTCACATTCCAAGTTCAGTTGAGAATATAGTCCTAAATACCAATTTTTATTTAACAGAATTTTCTCAGACAACATATAGATTTCCTGATTTACCTGACACAGCCCAAACTGCCTCATCAATCTGATCAGGATCCTCTGTGATGTCATACACGATGATGTCACACTCAACCAAATGTTCATACAGCTGATCTTTATTATCAAACTACAATAGAGGGTAAACATTAGATCAATAATCAAACTTTGAACATAATTGTTTCCACTTATTGAAAAGTTTTTTTGAAAGTGGGAGGTGTTCTGCTGAATGCTTCAATTCCTTAATCAGCCAATGATCTACCTTGATGACCTCCTTCATAAAATCTGGTTTGGGGGCTTCCCGGTCTTTGACAGTGCCCACCACTTCATAACACCCCTCTTTTGGAGCAGCAATGATGGAACTGGTGGTGGATCTAGCATCATCTTCCTCCTCGGGTTCCTCTAAGGATGCCCCAACAACACATCGGGAAATAAACTAAAACAAAACATTATATGTATACTATGGATAAATAGCTTAATTCTACGTTTTCATTATGAAAACTAATTGCTTCATTGGATTGCGCTATTTCATTTTTCTACATAGTTAAAATTAAGAAATATTGCGAGTGTTGAATTTATTATAGAATCTCCCTTACTTACTATGTGCCCAAAATGAATGAAATATATGTTTTGATCAAAGCCAACAATATCGAAACATTCAAAGTTATTAAGTATCAAAAAATCAATATAATGCATATACTGTCCCTGGTAACTAAGAGCAGAAATTGAGAGAAATGACAAAAAATATATTGATTTTTATTAGAAATAGTTTTTAATAAGAAGTCATGGGTAACTGTTCTTAAAACAAGTTGTAGAAAAAATCTAATCTTTTAATCCTAAGGAAAGACTTAAATTATTTGAACAACAAACTGTTTATCTGAATAATATTTATTATATACATCTGGTTTTAATATTTAAGAACTGCAAAACCCGATTAACAATACTAACGAAAACTTTGTTTACATCACCGAGCCCAACTTCGCAAGACTTGGATAAAAATCTTACCATGTCAAAGAGATTCAGTAGTTAAAACATGCAATTATCCTTTAAACTTACCTTTGCAATATTTTTTCCTTGATACTGGTCGACATGATTGACAAAAATCCTTTTGCTTTTGGGTTTTTCTTCATCTTGGCTAGCCATTTTGCTTGTCTGTTGCTAGGTAGAAAGGGAAGTAACCGCAGGTACCACAAACAAATTTCTAGACAAGTCGTACACAATTGTTTCCGCTTGTACTTAAATTTCACTTCATCGTGAGTAGTTTATATCGATAGACATTGTTTAAAAGCTTGTTATTTTGGTAAAAAAAAAATACCAGTCTTTTCATATAGACATTATCTACTTCACAACAAATATGTGATATTTTGTGTATAAAGGGGTACTGACCCTATGATAACTTCCCCACTAAAAATAGTAATTAAAAAAAATCCAGTTTTAAAACCCTTAAAAATTAACAATTTTGAAAATTGTTAAATGAATCAAGTATCAAATGCAGAATTTTTATTGGTATTACATTGTTTTCCTACTAAAGTATAATTACATATAAGCAATTATAACTCTTGAAAAACATGCAAAAATAATATAATGGTAATATTCTGACAGGAATTAATCGAAGCATTACTTCATTATATTTGAATTTCATAAGTAAGTCACTAAATATAAATTTCATACACACCTCATATTTTGTGTATATTTTATGAAGTAATAATATATGAATGCTCTTTATTCTTTGTGTTAAAATTTCTTTGTTATAATGACCTGACAATTGTATAAATAAACATAGGTAACAAAGATTACAAGCTTACCTCACAAATGCTATCTGAAAGTAAGGAAATTTAAGATCTTTTTTTCTAGTAATTTACATCTCAAGTCCAATATCCATACAAGTTTGGTTTAAGTACGTGATACAGTGTAAAATTCTCTGTCAATTTCAACATCCAAAGCAAGTCTAAAAGTGTTCATCCTAGCTAATACATGCATCTTCCATTAATCATAATAGGCAATAAAATTACAGAGCTATATATATTCCAATAACATTACCATGGTAACTTGTCTGGAAAATGTAGGTCAGACTTGCATCCAAGGCAATTCTGGAAGTGTCTATTCCTAGATACATCATTCATGCTAATTTAATTGGTACAAGTATGGGTAAAATTCAATCATGTGAAAAATAAAGTTCAAACACAGCATTTGAAGCAGTTTCCGAGTACTAGTGTAGTACACCTCTAGCAATGCAAGTTTTGTTCAGATAAGGTTACTTGGGAATGATCGACCTGCTCCAAAAACTTTAAACTGGTCATTTATGTCGATATCTTGCTTAGATCTGAAGCAAGTCTGGTAGTGTCCATCCGTAGTTGCGTTATCCATGCAAGTATGGTCCAAGTAGAACTTAAAGTTACTTGGGAATGGACCTCCTCCAAAAACTTTAGCCTTGTGATCTAGGTCAGATCCAGCATCTGGAGCAAGTCTGACAGTGCCCATTCCTAGCTTCATCACCCATGAAAGTTTGATCCAGTTAGGACTTATAGTTACTTGGATATAGACTTAATTGCTCCTAAAACTTTAACTGGGATGCTGAGGCTCAAGCCAATGCTGGGGGTAGCATGTGCTCATCTCAATATCATTGAGGTGAGCTAAAAATCATTTCTGTTAAAACAAGCAGCGCCTCATACCTCATCATTTTTTTTTTCATTTGAATCTGATGCCTTGAAAATCAACGTGAAGTGCAAAAAAAATTTTTGTATTTAGACCAGAGAGTCATAAGTCCCTAGAGCCATTAAAACACTGTACAAACTAGATATAAAATACATATATCCTTATGATGTTATTAAAGATCAATCATAAAATTAACAAACTTATATGATTTAAAAAGCTAATTCACATCTTTATTCCACATAAATTATATTGAAGTCATCAATACCTCTACATTACTGTTTCATCACAAATGAATGACAAATATATATATATAAGTAAAATGTAATTTAAAAGGAATTAAAAGGAGATGTCACACAGTAAAGATAATTTTAAAAAAATGTGTGGTTTCCAAATTTCATTCCACAAGCACTTTTTGGATTTTATTATTCCATCTTCAGATGTACATTGAACTGGAACTGATTTCTTTTGCTTGGTAAAATTAACAAAGTCTTTGCAAGAAAGTCTTTGCAGAGGATTGAGGTAATAATGATATTTTAATATTCCATGACATTAAATATGATATGTACGTAGCTTAACGTAAAAGTTTGGGAAAGTTGATTTGAACAATAGATATGATTTCTTAGACTCGATAAACAAAGTTTAAACAAATAAACTAAACAAAAATGTCACTAACATATCAGTAAATTAATGTCTGTTTCATAATTGTAATGTTCTCCCAAAACAATATTTAATGTTTCAGAATGGAAAGTTTGGATAATATGAAGTGTATCAGAGGAACGTAATATATATAAATTCTTTCAATGTGTTTATCATATTTTGCTATTCTTTACTAAATTTCATAATTTAATAATATTACTTACGGTACATGCACATACATGTATTAGATTAAAGCAAGATGCAATTTAATATATAACACTTTAACTACCATGGTAATTAAGTACCAAAAATGATTTATATAAATCAATAGAAAACTTGAAAATGTAAATTCACAATCATGAAATACATTGATTACAGCCATTAATATATAGGTAAAACAATGTACAATGCAATGACCAAGTTCTAGCTTTGTCTATTTTGGAATCAGATGTTGGGCACACTTTACTTCACTTGTACACTGGCTTGTCACCTCTGTTTGATGAGCGAGCTGATCCTGGAACACTAGAGCTACAATCTCCTCAGTGGTTTGTTGTTGGCCTTGATGAGACTTACTGAGAACAGCACCAGTATAGTCCACAGTTTGATCTGCATTCTCTGAGGATTCTAAAAGATGTTTCATACTAGCTTCTTTACATTGCTCCAAAGATCGTATAATGTCCTTAGATGTAGGCTCTGTCTTGGATTTACCAGTTACTTTCTTCAATTTCTTCTCTAAAAATAATTTCAAAAATATAAGTCATGACATGTCATAATTTCAAACACAAATTTTTGTTGAATGATATTAAGATTTTTTTTCTTTGAATCTCTTTCACCCTTTCTTTTTTTTTAATGATGTGTGCATGTATTTGTGTAAAGGCAGCTATAGACAGTTCTTTAAAACAAACAGAAATCAGATTGCATTTCTATACATTGAGTCAATAGTTAAAGGCAAAATAACCCTAGCTGCAGAACTGTAGCTCTCTGCTTGAGAAAATTATGACAGAAAAAGCAGAGCGCTACAAATCCAAAAGTTGTAAAGACTTTCAATTTATGCCACCATTTTTACAATGCTAAATTTGTCGCTTGGATCTATAGCTCTTTGCTTTATCACATCCATCTGAATTTTCTCAAGCAAAAGCTACCATTCTGCAGCTATAATCACCCTTGCATCTAGGTCCTGTAAAAGGACCCAGTCCTAATTGAATCTCTACTCTTTTCCCAAAATTTAGGTAAAAACTAACAAATGACAAGCAGATTGAATTTTAAAGTGCTCGATCTTTATCAATTCAATTCAATTTCTTTATTGATTCACCAAACATGTTGGCATACAACCATGTTACATATAAAAGACAAGTAATGAAATACATACATGCAAGTGTATGGATCAGTGAAGTCAACTATGCAGAGTATAACAACTTGAAGATTAAACATAATCATTATGCAAGCAGTATAATATGGACAGTGATGAGCTAATATATGCATTAAACATATATATTATAATTGTGCTTTATTTTTGGAACGCAATTCAAAACATTCATATAAAAATTCACACAGCCTTCTAGAATGAACTGCATTGTCAGGATTACATAATACTTTACAATGATTTTCTTTCAATATGTTATCGTTTAAATTACAGATGTTCAAAGAACAGTACTTTTTTCGCAAATCTATATATAAGGGACAGTCATATATGAAATGTATTTCACTTTCTACAATAGTTTTACAATAGTGACAAAAACGCGATTCTTTTGGGATACAAGGCTTTGAATATCTGCCTACTTCAATTTCCAAGGGATGTGCAGAAATTCTCAGTTTTGTTAATTTAGAACGTATAGCTTTATTTATTGGATATTTTAAGTAGTCTTGTAATTCATAATTCTTTCTAATTTGACTGAAAAATAATAATTTACCACATTTGGAGAATTCAATGTTCTGGAGTTGCAAATTAACATTTTTTATGTAAAAATTCTTCAAGCAGGTGCTGAATGTGTTATCAGTTATATCTAATGATGGAAGATTAAGTTTCTTTTTTAATTTTTCAATCTGACTTTGCCAATTATCCTTTACACCATTACTATATAAGTTGTCATCTTCTAAGGAAGCAGCAATAAGAATTTGATTTCTAGTGCTATTTTTATTCTTAACATTTTTTAGTCTCTTATAGTATTTAAACATTGAGATGATAGCTTTGCAACTTTTAGCTCATATTTAATGGCTAAATTTGAAGCTTTTCTCTGTACACCCAAAATATCTTTAAATATCAAATGCTGTATCTTTTCAAAAGGTAGTTGATCACAATTGTTTATATTAATATTAAAGTCTGAAATCCATATTTCAGAACTATACAAAATGATAGGTTCAATAAGTGAAGTATATAATTTTAAAAGAGTTTTTACAGATAAGTTATTATGAAAAGGTAAAGAGCGTTTCATTGCATAGAAAGCTTTTCTTGCACGGTCAGCTAGTTGTTCAGCTGCATACTTAAGCTTACCATTATAAGTAAAAATAATTCCTAGATATTTATATTCATGTTCAAGATGAACTATTAAATGGTTATAATAAAAACAATATTGAGTTGTGTCAATTTTCTTATTTGAGAAAATCATTGCTTTAGTTTTATCAGAGTTAACAGTCAATTTTGATTTTAGGCAATATTCTGAGAGACAGTCTAATGAGTTTTGGAGACCTTCTTTTGTAGTAGAGAGGAGAATTAGGTTAACAGGTCCGGCACAATCTCTTGATTAAGCTGTTTAGCTTGATTAAGCTATAGACTTTATTAAGCTATTCAGAATAGCTTGATTTAAGCTATTTTATCACACTTTTTCTCAAATGTTTTATTTTTTCGGCATGTACAAAAAGTATCATAGTACATAACATTAAATGAATATTAAGAATACACTGTACTTTGTTTATTTCAAATTATTATAGAAAAAGTTATTGTGAAAAGCTGCATACAAATAGTTTTTTCAAGCTCTTCTGAAAGGAATAGCTCAATAAAGCTATTTCAAGCTATATAGCTTAATCAAAGGATTGTGCTGCTAAAAAATCCCTACTGATGAAATATATCCGATGGTATTCGTGGGATTCGAACCCTAGCAAAAAAATCCGAAGTATCAGACTGCTTTGAGACTAACGCACTAACCACTATGATACATGGCTCATGAATTTTCGGACATTTTATTATATGGCCCTGAGTTACCTAAATTTTCCAAGTATTTTTCAGATGAAATAAAATCGTGGGTTGGATCAATCAACGGAGGAGCCGAATTCAACATATTGTAGTTATCTCAACGCCCTCTATACATTTAGAAGTGAAAGAAGTGAGAGGTAGAGAATGGGTGAAAAAATCATTGGACTCAATGCCTCTGTGTTATTATTCCTCTTTTCCTCTATTGTTAATGTTTCCCTTCAGGAAACGTTCAGGTGATGTTTGCTAAAATTAATGAGCAACTCGTACGAATACTGCTGAAAGGGGCGTTACTCTAATTTTTTCCTGCTAAACGAATGAGGAGATTGGAATGTAACAAGAGAAAAAAAGGTAATAATTTATGAAAAGTTTGCCAAAACATTTTGTCTTTGTGTACAGTATTATGTGCATAACATCACACAAGTCAGGTTTAATGCTAAAAGGGAAAGAAAGGCATCAAATTCATCAAACTGCCATTCTCATGATTCTGCTTTGCACGAAAATTGACCAATTTCAGATCCTGAATTATTTAGATTCTGTAATACATTTACTTAAAAATCTGTTTTATCAAACACAAAGAGCAAAAGTATTTAATTGATTAATTTACTTTTATCCGATATATGCTTTATAATTAAAACTATATAAATTGGTTATAGGTATTAAGAGTATTTTAGCATGATTTTAAAATGAATTCCATTAGTTTCAAATTGCTACACTTCAATTTCTATTGAAGCTGTAAAGAACAGGAAAAGTAACATTAAATTGATTATGATATCATAATGGTTCTAGCACAGGCTAAACATATGATGTCATATGACGTAGGTTCTACGTTAAGTTACCTTTTTCCGATATTTGCGATATATTACAGAATGTAGATGACAGTTAGTGTACAATCAACATCTCATCCTTTTCACATTAGGTCAAAGCATCAAGTAAATGTGGTCTGTTTGTTTTGTTTTTGCAAGTGAAAAATAAGGAAATCAGTTAAATGAATTCTTCATATTTACCATGTAAATATAAGAAGTATATAAAGAGTATGATAAGACCAGAGTACAGGATTATTTGATTGACACATTTAGTATGGCTAGTGTGAATCTGTTTGTTTCGCTGTATTTCTCTCCTCTCCTGTTACATTTGGTGCCGTGTCCTGCCCTTAAAGTGACAGGGAAGAGCCTGGGTAGGTGTTTTTGGGGCTCAAGAGAATATTCAGCTGTGTTGTGCCAATCTGGGTACACTTTGATAAGTATACATGTATACAAAGAAGAAAAATTCACATCTTTGCCTTGCATTATATATGCTTGATTTAATGACCAGATCGAGAGTGACTGTCAAAGGACATTTAACCAGAAACCACTTAAAATGAAAAATATGAAGTTAGAAAAAATAAAAAGATTCCCAAGATGTAATTTAATTATCTTTAAAATTTAGTCTTCATTCTTTTGCCTAGGTCCTGTAATTTCAAAGTTAATAAAAAATTATCACAAAAATTTACTGCTGTTTCCATTGCAAATATGAAACACTCTTCGTTTAAAATTCATATTGCATCACAAGTTTTTTGAATGTTTAATTTTTGCATCTTTGTAAGTTAAAAAGAGTTAATATATTTAATTAAGGGAGTCAGAAAGATTCCAGTCCTTGCCTGCAAGCTTATTACCCTTGGCTTTGCCTCAGAAAATAGTTCTGGCCTTGAGAAACTGGAATCTTGCTAACTCTCATCTGCATGATATATTCTTTAACTGCATTATATTTTTTCTTCATAGCATTTCATCTTATAACATACACAGTATAAGTTACACTTACAGTCAGGGTATTTATTATTAATTTTTCTATTCAGGTGTAGAGATTGGGTTGACTTTATGTTAATTAATCAATAGCGTATTGCCTGCTTCCTGACATTATGAATCCTGATATTGCCTGATCTATTTCCCTCGGGGTGGTTTGTTGTGTTATTTGATCATTGGATTTTTTTTACAGCTTCTTTACGTAATAACTAGGAAATTATGCATCCTGGTGTGTATTTTGCCAGTGTTTGAATATATTTACTTCTGTGGTTGTTATTGCTTTTTTGTGCTGAATAATTTTTCTTATAAGAAATTGAGGTAGGAAGTTTATATTCTTCTGTGTTTTTTTAATATATACAGCCTAGCTTATCTAAATATTAAAATTATATTCTATGCTCTAAGAAAACAATTTTTTTTTTTTAAATCACAGAGCAGGGAGTAAGACATTAATCTTCAATATTGGAAATCACGCCTTGATATATTTTACATATAATTTGTTAATAACAGACACAAAATTTTATTGATTGATCTGCAATAGTGTTGCTATATGCATGTGCATAAATGGTGGTATTAAATAAGGAGGAAAAGCTAGTTTTCTTAAGCTCAGTTATCTAAATATCAAAAAACAACAATAATGTTGATTAGAGAGAAAATGCTGTAGACCAACCATGACAGACTGAGATTTGAACCCATGCCCCTGTAAACATGGTAAAGGTGCCTTTATACCACCATTCTGATAACTGTTATTGAAAAGCAATGTGTTTAAGAGAAGTGTTATTTAGTACTGTGTTTTAAATTTAGGCATGCTTATATTTTATAAAAATGATTTATTAAAGCTGATAAGCTTATCAGCAGTGTTCCTTCCCTCTTATAGAAAATGTTTTCCTTACAGATAAATCTAACATTATTGTAAAACAGTTGTACCCTTTAAATTTGGTGCCGTTAATGACTTATTAAGTCCTGCCAGGGGCAATAAGAACTTGGGTTGTGTCTTCGAGGGCAAAGACCTTTAAGGAGGGAGTAATGTGGCGGTCAGCCGGGTTCGATCGCCGGTGGCCAGATCCCTAGAAAGGATATATGTTTGAAATAATTTTTTTCCTACGGGTTCGATTCCCGGACCAGCCATACATTTTCTCCTTTCCTGTTACAATTGTAAAACAGTTGTACCCTTTAAATTAATGTATTAAGTCCCTAAAGTCTATATGTTTGAAATTTTTTTTTCCTACGAGCTGATTATAATTAGTTCAAAGAATGACGATTTGAAATAAAAGTGAATCTTTGTCTTTCAGATTCTGCACCATGAGGGCCCGGGATTTTGCCCACTACAGCCTGAGGATTTTTTTCATCACCGTAGCCAACTTGTTTGGAATCCCTTCATATCTCACCTGGATTTTACTTCTCCAGCCCTTAAAGCATTATTACCCAGAGTTATTTTGGAAAATTGAATCTGTTTTATTCCAGGGACTTTTAACTATAGTTACGACATGGCTGTACTCAGGGGGATATACAAGTAAGCAGCAATTATTACACAATCTGAAATGTATCCATTGTAAATAGATGTACTTTTTAGTGTAAATATCAGAATACAAAGGATAGTGGTTAATGGCATATTCCATACTACCCTTTTATCTCATGCAGATACACTGCAGATAAACTCACCAGTGTCACAATGGTGCAGCTTTTTTCAGGACATTTGCTTTTAACTAGCCTCAGGGGACATGATTTGAACAAACTTAATAACACACATCTACATATGCTTTTACATTATGACTAATAATGACCATGGTGATCTTCACAATTAAAAAAAAAAGTCTCTGAGTCTTTATTGTACCCCTACCATATCCCAGACTATTGCAACCTCCCAATGCTCCCAAACCCCAGACTATTGTAGCCCTCCCAAACCTCAGACTATTGTAGCTCTCCCGAACCCCAGAGTAGAAGCTCTTCCAAACCCAAGACAAGATTATTGTAGCTCTCTAAACCCCAACTATTGAAGCTCTCCCAAACCCAAGATTATTGTAGCTCTCCAAAACCCCAGATTATTGTAGCTCTCCCTAATTCCAGACTATTGTAGCTCTCCCATACCCTAGACTATTGTAGCTCTCCCATACCCTAGACTATTGTAGCTCTCCCTTACCCCAGACTATTATAGCCGTCCAGTACCCCAAACTATTGTAGCCCTTCCATACCCTAAACTATTGTAGCTCTTCCATACCCCCAACTATTGTAGTCCTCCCATACCCCAGACTATTGTAGCTCTCCCATACTCTAGACCATTGCAGCTCTCCCATACTGTAGAGTATTGTAGCTCTCCCATACTCTAGACCATTGTAGCCCTCCCATACGCTAGACTATTGTAGCTCTCCCATACTCTAGACTATTGTAGCTCTCCCATACCCTAGACTATTGTAGCTCTCCCATACTGTAGAGTATTGTAGTCCTCCCATACCCCAGACTATTGTAGCTCTCCCATACCCTAGACTATTGTAGCTCTCCCATACTCTAGACCATTGTAGCTCTCCCATACTGTAGAGTATTGTAGCTCTCCCATACTCTAGACCATTGTAGCCCTCCCATACGCTAGACTATTGTAGCTCTCCCATACCCTAGACTATTGTAGCTCTCCCATACTCTAGACCATTGTAGCTCTCCCATACTGTAGAGTATTGTAGCTCTCCCATACTCTAGACCATTGTAGCTCTCCCATACTGTAGAGTATTGTAGCTCTCCCATACTCTAGACCATTGTAGCCCTCCCATACGCTAGACTATTGTAGCTCTCCCATACCCTAGACTATTTATAGCCCTCCCATACTCCCAAACTATTGTAGCCCTCCCATACTCTAGACTTTTGTAGCTCTCCCCATTGTCGGAAACCCACGGGTGATCTTGTCTATACTTATCACCCGTGGGCAAACTGGCTGAAATATCGCCTTAAAATATGCTAATTTGTTGTTCTTAGTCAACCAATCAGAAAGTTGGAACTCTTCAATTTTGAAAAATATGTTTATTACTTTGCTATTTATGGTAAATATTTTGAAGCTCGTTAAAACGTGCTAAGTTTGATTTAAAACAATGAAAGTCAATTCGTACAGGTCACTGACATTAATATCCCTCAGATATTACATAGGAGTACCTCTTTCTAACTGCAAAATGCACCGGTGACTGGATTTATCAGCTGTGTTAACTACAGAATGAGTATTTCATGTTTTTGGCAATGCCGAACATGCATATGTAACGTGAACTGTGATTCGTTGTTTCGCATCGCGACTCTGTGATGGGGGCAATCAAATGACCCATGCATATTTAATTACATACGATGATTTTTCGGCGAGTTTGCCCACGGGTGATAAGTAAAGACGAGATCACCCGTGGGTTTCCGACGATGAGCTCTCCTGTACCCTAGACTATTTTAGCTCTCCCATACCCCAAACTATTGTAGCCCTCCCATATCCCAAACTATTGTAGCCCTCCAATACCCCAAACTATTGTAGCTCTCCCATACCTAGACTATTGTAGCCCTACCGTACCCCAAACTATTGTAGCTCTCCCATTCCCTAGACTATTGTAGCTCTCCCATACCCTAGACTATTGTAGCCCTCCCATAGGGTAAAAAAACTTCCACCTTTCTGATCTGCTGTTTGCGTATTAGTTTTACTAATCATGGGCCTATTGTTTGAATAAGGAATATTTCACAAGATTTTTTCCCATATATTCCCATGTGAAACTTTGATACCCCAAGGCTAGCTCCACCCTTTCTCCTGGGGGACTTCTTTTGAACAATCTAGAATATGCACTGTCGAAGAATGCTAGCAAAAAATATATAATATCACATGGTCCTGCTATACTTATGAAGATTTTTAAACATTTTCATGTAGCACTGACATCTGCTACTGAGGCCCAATCCTACTGCCTGTGGCTATGTTATGAACAAGGGTACCACAAAACTGATCATTAAGCAGGATCATGATTAAATCAAATCTGCAATAGCCAGAGATGTTTATGAATAATATCACTATAATCATCACATGGTCTTGCTGCAGTTGAACAGATTAGAAAGATTTTACAATGATTGCATATTATTTGTCCCATGCTTCTTGAAAATATTTTTCACAATGCATTACTTTGCTTTTTTATGCTCTGTAAACAAAGTTTCAGGGGTATATAGTTTTTGTCGCGTCCTTCCATCTGTCTAGCTGTCTCTCTGTCTGTCTGTCTGTCTAGCTGTTCGTCTGCAAAAACTTTAACTTTGCCCATAACTTTTGATTTAGTGGAGCTATGACTTTCATATTTCACCTGTATATTCCTTGTGACAAGACCTTTCTTTGGGTACCACCAAATTTGACCTTTCGACCTTGGAGTTTGACCCACTTTTACACAAAAATGCCAAACATTTACTTGGCCATAACTTTTGAACAGTAAGGACTAGTGCTTTCATACTTCACGGTCACCATACATATGTAATTCTTGTGAAAAAAAACCTTTCATTGGATACCAAGAACTTTGACCCTTTGACCCTGACCTTAGAGTTTGATCTACGGTACTTTTAGAAAGCAAACCTTGACCATAACTTTTAAAGGGTCAGGACTAATGTATTCATACTTTACATATTTATTCCTTGTGACAAGGCCATTCCTTGTGTACCACCAAATTTGACCCTTTGACCTTGACGTTGGAGTTTGACTTACTTTTCAAAATTGATAACCTTGGCCATAACTTTTAAAGGATTAGGGCTAGGGCTTCCATACTTCACATATGTATTCTTTGTGGCAAGACCTTTCATTAGATTCCAGTAACCTTGACCTTTTGACCTTGACCTTGGAGATTTCTGTACTTATAAAAACTTTAACCTTGCCCATAACTTTTGAACTCTAAGGGCTAGTCCTCTTATACTTCACATATGTAATCCTTGTGAGAAGACCCTTCATTGAATACCAAGAACTTTGACCCTTTGACCTTGACGTTTGACATACTTAAAAAAACAAATCTTGATCATAACTTTTGAAGAAGGCAAGTGCTTTCACACTTTTCATATCTAAACCTTGTGACAAGACCTTTCATTTGATGTCAAGAATTTTGACCCTTTGACCTTGACCTTGGAGTTAGACCTACTTTTAAAAATAGGTAACCTTGGCCATAACTTTTGAAGGGTTAGGGCTACGGCTTCCATACTTCACGTATGTATTCTTTGTGGCAAGACCTTTCATTGCATACCAATTACCTTGACCTTGGGGATTTCCATAGTTATGTCCATCCATCTGTCTGTCTAGCTGTCCGTCTGTCTGTGCAAAAGTGTCCGGTCCATATCTTTCTTACGGAGGAACATTAGAATCTACTATTCCACACAAATATTGCCCATGACCTAAGGGTGTGTCATGACCTTGACCCAAGGTCATTTGGGGAAGTTCAAGGTCACTGGAAGAAAAAATTCATAATTCGTGTCCGCTCCATACTTTCTTATGGATAAACTTGGTAGGTTCTAATTTCACACAAAGATTGTACATGACCTAAGGGTGTGTCCTGACCTTGACCCAAGGTCATTTGGGGAAGTTCAAGGTCACTGGAAGAAAAATTTCATAAGTCGTGTCCGGGCCTTATCTTTCTTATGGATAAACTTGGTAGGTTCTAATTTCACACAAAGATTGCTCATAACCTAAGGGTGTGTCATGACCTTGACCAATGGTCCTTTGGGGAAGTTCAAAGTCACTGGAAGAAAAAATTCATAATTTGTGTCCGGTCCATATCTTTCTTATGGATAAACTTGGTAAGTTCTCATTTCACACAAAGATTCCTCCTGACCTAGGGATGTGTCATGACCTTGAGTCAAGGTCATTTGGGGAAGTTCAAGGTCACTGGAAGAAAAAATTCATAATTCATGTCTGGTCCATATCTTTCTTATGGATAAACTTGGGAAGTTCTCATTTCACACAAAGATTGCTCATGACCTAAGGATGTGTCATGACCTTGGGTCAAGGTCATTTGGGGAAGTTCAAGGTCACTGGAAGAAAAATTTTATAATTTGTGTCCGGTCCATATCTTTCTTTATGGAAAAACTTGAATCTACTACTCCACACAAACATTGCTTATGACCTGAGGTTGTATCATGATTTTGAACCAAGGTCATTTATGCAAGTTCAAGGTCACAGACAGAAAAAGTTCATCATAATTTGTGTCTGGTCCGTATATTAAGTCTATTTTTTTTATTAGGCTGCGCCTTCGTTTCATTTAAGAAAAATATAATGAGCAATTACATTTGCACTAAAAATATTTTAGCATTTCTCTCGTTCTTTTAGATCCATAAAATATTCACGATTTAGCACTTCTGAAAAACCCAGCAGGGGGTATTTTGTCCCGTTTGGACAGTTCTAGTTATCTCTTCTTTCAAGAAGCCCTGGACCTTTATTTGAACAAAGGGATATTCAGTGCCAGATTTGTCAGAAATTGGTCAAGTGGTTTTGGAAAAGATTATAAAATTGAGAGAAAAAAAAATTATGACACCATCAAGGACAATTAAAAAAAAAACCAACAGACAAATTTTGTCCAGGAAAGCTCATGTGCAATATTACTTAGAATAATTTTAACTGAACAATATATACAGTTTTGATCCTTTTTATTAACACAATATTTATTAGGTAAAGGGTGAATAACTTTTGTTTTTATCTCTCCCCCCCCCCAAAATATACCAAGTGCCTTATTGTTAGATACCCTTGTATATTTTTTATTTTATTTTCATATACTTTCTAAGTATTCTTAAATTGAGTTTCGATCTTTGTAGTAATGGAGTCTGGAGACAGTTTGGAGGGGATCATGAATGATGAAGCAGTGGTTCTAGTAAATCATCAATCCACATCAGACGTTCCCATTGTCATGTCAGCTCTTCATAACAAAGCTCAGGTGGTCGGGAAGGTCATGTGGGTCATGGACGACATCTTCAAGTACACAAACTTTGGGTGGATTTCTTATTTCCATGGAGATTTTTTCATTCTTCAGGTAAAATGATGCTTGAAATAAGTTAAAATTTATTGAGAGTTTTTTTAAAGTGTTTATTTTAAATTGCTTGGAGACAAAGTATTATGTTGTGTTTTTTCTTAGGGAAAAGAAGCAAGAACAGATTCTTTAGAGAAGTTACAAAAACACATAAATGAAATATATAAAACAACATTCAAAAATTGGATCATCCTGTTCCCAGAGGGAGGGTTCCTTCGAAAACGTAGATTTCGCAGTCAAGAGTAAGTGTACTGGTATATTTTACATAATAAATATTTTTTTCATAATTCTACAATTTCCTTCTAATGAAAAGAAAAAGCTTCTGATTCTTCATGAATAATAAACATCTATGTATTATAGATGATTTACCGGTACATCTTTAACCTTGACCTCTTACAGATTTGCCAAGAAAAACCACCTACCAGTTCTCCAACATGTAACACTTCCTCGTGTTGGGGCACTTAAAGTGATAATAGACAACCTGGCTTCACCAACTACAGTTAATGGGAATGTTACAGGTCAGGCTAGGTCAATCAACCAAAAATTTCAGTATGTGTACCCTCACAATAAAATTAACTGGGGGAAGGGTAAACTGAAAATAAAATCTGTGTGTACATCAGTTTGTTAATGTAGGTCAGTGTCAGATCAGCTCTGAGCTCACCAAAAATGATATATCCCAATGAATATTGAAATTCTTGTATTGTCAAATTGGAAATGCTTAAAAATTAACCATTAATGAAAATAAGACAATAATTAAGTTCAATAATTTAAAAAAATCAAAGATATGAATTAACTTTGAAATGGAAGACATGGTATATATATTTATTTACAGGAAGCAAATCAAATGAAAAGACACTAAAGTGGGTGATAGACATTACCATCGGTTATCCAGGGGCAACTCCTTACAACTCACATGGCATGTTTGTGGGGTACTGGCCACCCCATAAGGTGGACATCCATTATCGTGTGTATCCCATACAAGAGATTCCCACCGAAAAGGAAGCCCTGACAAAATGGATGTACGATCGCTACGAGGAAAAGGAAGTGCTCCTACAGGAATTTTACACAAAAAGCAAGCCTCTAGATGAATCAGATAACCAGAAGCGAGCCATGCCGAGGGTCAGGCGTCATGATCTGGTTATTGATAAATGTTTAGCCTGTCTTTTCTACCTGCTTCATTTGTGTTCATTTATAGTGTTCTGGTTTTATTTATATTGTCCTGTTATAAGGATCATCAGATTTATGATGAGTTTTGTATTTTAGAGTTTATTAAAATAACTTTTTATTGTTATTTTATGGTTTTTTGTGACGTACAATCAGGAATTTTTGCATCATATTTATCGTAATACCAGTGAACTGGTGCATTTTACTTGCAAGTTCTCACTATATTTGTCCACAAATTGAATCATAGTATTAGTTTTTATATAGACAGGTTTTTATAATCTGTACTTGAGATCTCTGTATGACATTTTTTATATAACTTTTCAATATCTTTTGAATTTTATTTATTTCATCTTCCCAGATAAGATACTGTGTATATATACTGTAAATCACTTTTTATTCACGAGAACTTTATTTTCGCGTTATTACGCGAGACAGTGTGCTTGTAAAAATTTATTTCTCGCATATAATAGTATTCCTTAAGATTATATAGAGCAATTACTACAATTTGCGAAAATTTTGTCTCGCTAATTAAGAGTCAATGACTATCTCGCAAAAATAAGGTGTCACGAAAATTTAGTGATCTACAGTATTTAGATTAAGGTTTGTGGTCCCCCGTTTGCTCAATTTAATTTTTTGCTTTCATAAATAATTTTCCAAAAGAAATTTATAATTAAAAATGCACACAATTTAGGCATACTTTGTGGGGGCAAAATATAACTGATTTAGAAATGGCCTTAAACTTAATATTATAGAGGTCTCAGGAGTTATATTCATTTATCCCAGTCTTGATTATCGCTGATAAACCTTAATCTTAAGACAATGTTAACATTTTACATTACATGCATATGCATTTATAAATCTCCTTAATCTAAGAACCTTGTGATTTGAGATCATACATGTATTTTCTTCTTCAGGCATATCAACATGCACAAGTATGGATAATTTTAAGATAAAAGACTTTAAAATTATTTTATTACAAATGTTATCTGGGTTATGTCAGTAACATTGGTATAAAAAAAATTACATTGTATACCTGAGGAACAAAATTTAAATATGAAACTTTGATTTTGGCGGAAACTATGTAGTCATTTTTAGGAAGTTCATAAAGATACTTCCTATGTACATACTAATTAAGTACCAGTAACCAGAACAAAGTATAATGCATGTATTCAGGGGTCAGCTGTGCATTGTGTGTTCATTAATGAAGCTTCTGCCAATATTTTCCTTCTTTTGAGGTTGTTTGGTTGACAACTACAAATTGTACATGTACTAGTAAATTTCAGAAATTAGGTAACTAACTTATTTATAGAATGTTGCAAAGATCATTTTTGTAGTTGTAAATGTACTAAGTTCACGCTTTGTCTTGCCAGCCCGAGTGTTGGATTTCCAGTTTTTTTTTTGGTAATGATAAATGCATTATGCTGGAGATATAATCTAGATCAAGTTGTATGTTTTTTAAGTCTTTCAGCAATAACATTCATGTTTGATTACTTGATTTTATGTTTTCTACAATAATTTTTCTAAGCTGCCACCCATTTGAAATCTGTGTATATATATACATGTACCAGCACTAGATCTTGACATTCCTGATATCTTAAATACCTCAATATATTATCAACTTGATATATTTTAGAAAAAAAAATTTAAACCATGAAAACATGGAAATCTTAGAGTAACTATCATACTGTAACTTTCAAGACTCCGACTGTTTCAAGTACTTATGATATATCACAAAATGAAGATTCTGGTATGCCAACATTTTCTTTGGATACACCATATAAGCAGAATTTTTAGCGTGGATTTAATTTTGGCATTATTAGCAAGGGTGTTTAGAATTGAATATTGCTAATAAATAATTGCATTTTATTTATAAAAGTTTCATTAGTGAGCATTTTTAAAATCGCTAAAATTACATCTCACTAAAAATAACTTTAATAAATTTTCAGGACAATTGCTAAATTTGTGTCTTGCTAACATTTCAACTTCTATGTTAATAGGATATATGTGTGCTAAAAGTATACATTAAGTACCAGCTTTGGTTTTGATTGTCTGTAAACTAGCTTTTTTCTGATTTAAAGTGTATGATTTATATACTAATATAGTTTGGTATACTAGCTGGTATTGATATCATCTTTTTGAAATTAAAATGAGTTGAATTTTAAGAAATTTGATACATGTATACCATACTGATTTTTAAGCATTAATTTATACATGTATTCCAATTATTAAAAAAATAATGTTTATTTATTGAAGTCTCATTTTATTTTTAAGTTAAACCCATAGTTTTGTTCTCTTTACTATATTCCCCCTTTCCATTTGGCATACAAAAGTAGGTCACTTGAGACTACTTTTACTTTGCAATTTTACAGCTGAGAACCTTAACAAAACTCAGACTATAAACTGAGAACAGACTTATGGAATGATATGAACTTAGTAAAACCTTAAGTCTTTATATAATAAATACAGTGGATTTTAAATGAATATTTTTATTTTCATTCTAAATTTCACAATTAACGAGAGGTTCAGCAAACGAACGTGTACATGTAAAAGGGAATCCCCCTCCTGAATTCTGTCTATTATGTCATCAGTTCTGTTAGTGACAAATTTCTACATGTATTCACTTACATGTAGAATGCCGAGTACGTTAGTCCACACATGTAGCTTATATTTCTTTTTTAGAAATATTTTTTTAAAACCTGTAGCTTTTATGCAAATTCTAATACATAGAACTAAACAACTAGAATTGAAAAATATGATTTTATAGAGTACATGTATTAAATACTCAACCTCTAGATTTTCAAAACAGGCTTTGAAGGGCTAAACTTATAAGAACTCTATTCAATTCTATCCTGATAAATATATGCAAATATTTATTTAACATGGCGATATACATATTAAATTTATTCTGTTTTGTAACTTTTTGTCATTGTAAGCACTTTTGCATTTAAAACACTTACAAGTACACATACAGGATATACTTTGCTAAACAAGAGAAATCATTTTCTATTAGTTGTATGTGGGGATTATTTTATACGCGTAAGCATATTGAAGGGTAGTTGTTTGGTCATAGTATATAAGAAGTTGGTCAGGCGTAAAGTGGTCATCGACGAGCAATAATCAACCAGATTTCGAACACGCTTTACCTGTTATGAATGAGTCAAATTCTAGTCACGAGGAGCGGGTTTTACATGCTGCGCCCCAAATTGGCCAAAGTGGACGACCTGGCTTGACACAAAATTCGCAAGACGAATTCACTAGTGAAGATGCACTGGATATTTTTACAGACAAATTAGAAAGGGCGCTTAGACGGCAAAAGCAAGAAATCGTCAGTGAGTTGAGTTTAGCCCAGAGGTCAACAGAAAAAAAGGTACCTGATTTTAGATATCAAGGCAATAAAATTCAGTTTGAATTCAATGCAGAAAGAGAAACTGACATTAGAAAAGTATTAAACCTGTTGGAAAATAACAGAATAGAAGCGGCTAAAGAAATTTTGAATTCTACCATAACACATTTGAATAAAAGAAATAAAGTTGTTCGCATAGCGGATAAATATGGTTGGGATGTTGTACATGAGTATGAAGATGATCCTATTACTGACGACGCTGACGATGCTACTAAGCTTCGACAAGCTATTTTCAGAGCAAAGAAAAGAAGCAACAACAAGAAGCCTTATGACAGAACAACACGTGCTTATCCTGGACAGGAAGTGCAGTCATTTCCGGGACAGTTTTTTCGTTCATATGGGCAGGATTCTGGACAGGGTTTCCCCAGAACAGAGTACGGAAGACAATCGTTCTATCAGCCCTTCACATATCCTCAACAAGGGTACAGAAAGGCAACTTCAACTGTCACAAGTAACAACGGAGCAGCAGCCAGCAACATCTGTTTCTACTGTAACAAATTTGGACACTGGGCCAACAAATGTCCAGAGAGAGGAAGTGGAACTTCCACTACAACCGCAACAACAACAACAGCCAGCAAATAATGACTTGGTGAGCACTTGTTCTTTGAATGACAATGTATGTGAATTTGAAAATTTTAGTTCAAATAGTGTTAAAGGCAATTTAAAGAAACACGCAAAATTTTGGAAATATCATATAGGTGCCTCAGATTTTATTTTAAATGTCATAGAATATGGTTATTTTATTCCATTTTTAATGTTGCCTCCAACAGCATGTCTCACTAATAACAAATCTGCATTACAGCATGGACAATTTGTTGACTGTGCTATTAATGAGCTCTTAGTTTCAGGAATAGTAGAGGAACAGATGACTCAACCTTATGTGGTAAACCCTTTATCTGTGTCGGTTAATTCTGCTGGAAAATGTAGATTGATATTAGACCTCAGGCATGTTAATCAATTTATTGAAAAGAAAAAATTTAAAATCGAAGGTGTTGCTAATGCATTACAATTGGTGGTAAAAAATGGATTTATGTACAAATTTGATTTAAAGTCAGGGTACCACCATGTAGAAATACATGATTCGCATCAAAAATATCTTGGTTTCACATGGAAATTTGGAGATAAAAAGAGGTATTTCATTTTTAAATGTTTACCTTTTGGTTTGTCGAGTGCCCCGTATTTATTTACAAAGTTACTTAGACCTTTAGTGAAATTCTGGAGAAACAAAGGTTTTAATTCAATCGTTTATCTAGATGATGGATGGGGTATTGCTGATGATTATCATACTTGTGCAAAAATTTCTTGTGAAGTTAAAAAAGATTTAATTGATGCAGGTTTTGTTATCAATGAAGAAAAGAGTGAGTTTCAACCCAAACAAGTCATTAAGTGGTTAGGATTTTTATGGGATACTAAATTGGGAACTCTATCAGTACCTGATGATAAACTTTTGAAATTTCAGAATGATATTGAGTTCATTATCAAAAACAAAAGTAATGTTACAGCTAGACAGTTGGCTAAAATTACAGGGAAAATCATTTCATTTTCTTTTAGCCTTGGTAACATATGTAACATCATGTCTAGATATTTACATATAGCCATTGCAGAATGTGTCTCATGGGATCAAACAATATTATTTAATGATAACATCGATCATGAAATTAACTTTTGGTTACAAAATTGTAGATCTTTAGCCAGAGTGTGTTATTTTGAAAGTGACAAACGTCCAGAGCAGATTTTATATACAGATGCTAGTGGTATTGCAGGAGCTGGTTATTCTGTTAAGACAAATAATTCGTTGGTTCATTATATGTGGACACCTGAACAGAAGTGTCAAAGTTCCACATGGAGAGAACTTAAAGCAGTACAAATTACTGTAGAGAGTCTCAAAGAAATGTTAAGCGATAGGGTAGTTAAGCTGTACACTGATAATCAAAATGTAGTCAAGATCGTTGACAAGGGCAGTATGAATCAAGAATTGCAAAGTTTATTGTGATAAATGTGAAATGTTAATTGCGTTGTCATGTTTACAATGTGCGATATTTCTTGTCTCATACTTTGTTGTGACATGTCGAGGAAATTCGAACTGGTATTGATGCATGATTACTGTATAAATGCATATTATATTTATTAATTTCGATGTTAATCATATTCATTTTTACATACTTAATTACCTCTATTCATATGATTACGTCTATTATTGTGGAAAACTACAACTTGTATCCAAAACTGTGAAGAAAGATGTTTTGACTTTACCGGGAAATCACATGTTTTCATACTGCAATCCCGATCCCGATCGAACATGATTTGTATAAAGAATTTCGTATTTATTCTGTACTTTGACTCGAGTACTGTTTTCTTGTAGTAATATTATGTAATTAAAATAAATATTATCATATTTTTATTACCGTTTTAATGATACAAGTTGTGTATTGTAAATATGTAGATATTGCTATGACCTAGTTACCTAGATACGTTTGTATAACATACGGGTTCTTGTGCTATATAGAGGTACGGCAGCCGTTAAGGGTGACTATCTATTATTGTTGAAAGGTATTTTTTATTAGTTTTTAAGTACTTAAATGATATTGTAATATTATAGAAAGGATTTTTAACGAATGTTATAGTGAATAGGGATTTGTATTACATTGTTCAATATTTTTTAAAGGAAAATATCTAAATTTAAACCTGAAAATATTATATTTCATATTTTATGTTCTAAATAAATAGTTCATATTAATTGATATAATATTTGTGTCTTTTCTAACGTTTTTGAATTTAAATACACATAACAAATTCAGCAAACGCAATAATTATCAATATCTATTTATTCTATTTGTTTGCAGAATAAAATTAAGTTAGAGACTGAATGGATTCCAAGATCTGAGAATGAAATTGCAGATGCGTACAGTAAGATTTTTGATTTTGTTGATTGGTCAGTGGGTGATCACATTTTCCAGTTTTTAAGTAAAAAATGGGGGCCATTTGATTATGATTTATTTGCAGACTGTAAAAATAAGAAAGTAGAAAAATTTTATTCCAGATTTTGGAATCATGGAACATCAGGTGTAGATGCTTTTGGGTTTGATTGGTCTATAGGTAATAATTGGATAGTACCTCCTGTTAATCTAATTATAAAAGTGATTAAACATTTGATTTTGTGCAAAGCAAGAGGTACTCTTATTGTTCCTAAATGGCAGTCTGCACCTTTTTGGCCTTGGATAGAATGCACTTTACAGGTACGGCCGCCATTTTGATTCTAGATCCGCGCGTGAGAGTGCGCGGCGTAAAAACTTAGCAACGTATCAACTATGATGGGCGACGCCATTTTGTTGTGTAAGAAACTCTCGAAGCGAGAAAAAAAGATATCTAAATGGGTTTTCGCTTTTTTAAGCGGGGGTGTGGGGGCGGCAGCCCCCAATACGTAAAAATAAATAAAACAAACTTACCTTAGTCGTTAGATAAATCTGCGTTAAGACTCGGGGCCACACCTACGTGTCACTATACATGTAGAACCATTGTGTCTTTTTTTTGATGAGTTGTAAATACGTTTTTATGGGTGATGAAGGAGATAAACGTCAATTTTAAATTATAGCTACTATCCTAGTGCATTCTTGTTTTAGTAGAGATTTCCTATATAACTGCATTCCATGTGGTCTCAATGATTGTAAAGTATCCAGTGTTAAATAGATAAATTTTAGTTCGTAAATCCAGGATTTACTGCAGCTCTGTTTCCAGAAATCTAAGATGTGACTCTTACGTTTCATTTTTCTTATACTGCCGATTGCTGTTTCTCGAAACAAGACCGTCCTCACTGCATGTTTACAAGTTTTGCCCCTCCACTTATTCAACATTTCCATAAACTAAGGATCACATTTATCGCTAAAATTTCCAAAAATTCTAGTATGTTGCAGTCAGTCAATTAAAAATATCCATTCATAGAAAACACAACACAAATCATCTTAAATAAGGTGCATGATGAATCACTGTTTACAATCAAATAGAGTGGAAGTCAAACTTTCTATTTCACGTCACCTACCCTGACCAATCACAGCACTGAAATAAGTCACGTGCTTAACAACGTCACGACTTTGGAATGTGGCCGACAAAATGAAAGCCAAAGGTTTGTTTTGAAAGTGCTTTTAGTTTTAATTAATAACTTCGTTAATTAAACGAAGTTTATTAACATGAAAAATGACGAGGAATTCAAAAAATAGGTTATTTTTGCATTTTATTGCCTTTTTAGCGAAATCGTCACGCTGACGCGTGACTCTCTTATAGAGAAGGAACACGTGCTATTTCCATGTTATTTGGACGTACCGGTAAAGTGCAGTTGTCCCTTGGCCTTTATTAGTTAAGCCGTTTTCTGGAAATTTTCAAAATTTTGTTAAAGAATGGCTTGAATATCACAAGCCTCGAAACTTTTTCAGGAAAGGATCTCATGCAGAAAGTGTGTTTGCTGAACCACAGTTTCAGAGTAATGTTATTGTGCTTTACATAGACTGTTCTGATTGTTGAATTTTGTGTTTATGCTATGTTATAACAGACAATGATCATGAATTTATGTTAGCCTTTATGAGGCTTTTGTAAAGCCCGGATGGGGCAATTGTGATGAAGCCCGGATGGGGCAATTGTGATGAAGCCCGGATGGGGCAATAGTGATGAAGCCCGGATGGGGCAATTGTGATGAAGCCTTGATGGGGCAATTATGAATATAAAATTTATGTTGCATATAATTGTTAATTATTATGAATTATGAAGCATTATGAATAAGATTACAGATGTACTTATTAAATTTGATCAAGAAAGGGCTGAAATGTTGATCAAGAGACATAAATGTATATATATTTAATATGAAGTAATTTTTTTTTTAATTTCAGCTCACATGTAGTTTCTCGACTTGGAAAGAAATTAAAAAGATTCAAGATCCTAGACTCAAGGACACGGTACTCAAAATGAATGATATAGTAATGCACAGTAAAAGTGATAACACGTATAAAAAATACAGAAGCTATTTTCTACAGTTTAAGTCTTGGTGCACAAAATTTAAATTTCTTGCATTACCTGCTACACCATCTTCTGTTGCAGTTTATTTGTCTTATCTTATACAAAAGCAGTCTTCAGTTGCAGTCATTAATGCGGCATATTATAGTATTCAATGGGCACATCATATTAATCTTTGTAATAATCCATGTGCAGACAATCTTGTAAATTTGATTTTAGAAGGAGGGAAGAGATTGTTATCGAAACCTGTAGTTAAGAAGAAACCTATTACACCTGAGATTTTAGATAAAATAATGGATAAATTTCCACAGGTAGAAAATTTATATCATTCGAGATTGGTATGTATGTTGTTATTAGGTTATGCAGGTTTCTTAAGATATGATGAACTTGTGCATATTCGAATGTGTGACATTAAGTTTCATGAATCAGGTTCACATGTTGAAATTAGAGTTGAAAAAAGCAAAACGGATATTTTCAGGCAAGGTAATATTGTTGTTATAGCGAAAACAGGTAATAAACTTTGTCCTGTTTCTTATCTTGAAAAATACATATCATTAGCTGGTCTTGCTTTTCAGTCTAATGATTTTATTTTTAGAGCAGTTACATTTTTCAAAAAGGACAATGTTTATAAGTTATGTAAATCAAATAAACCTTTGACTTATACTAGAGCTAGAGAGCTTCTTCTGGATGCTCTTAAAAGTGTGTGTGTAGATTTTAAAGATTATGGTTTACATAGTTTGAGAAGTGGTGGAGCAACTGCAGCAGCTAATAACAATATTCCAGATAGACTTTTTAAAGCTCATGGCAGATGGCGTTCGGAGAATGCTAAAGATGGTTACATTTCAGATAGTTTAAATAACAAACTCGTGGTTACTTTGAATCTTGGATTATGAATTCTTTAATTTCTTTTGTAGGTTAATGATATACCCAACCTTTGTGTTCGAACTGGTTGATAGGCGCTCAACATACTACATCTGTGTTCTGTTAATTATTTTCTAAGTACTTAGAATAGAAATATTTTATGTTCGGATGAGTGAAACGAAGGAGAACATAAATCATTTTCTATTAGTTGTATGTGGGGATTATTTTATACGCGTAAGCATATTGAAGGGTAGTTGTTTGGTCATAGTATATAAGAAGTTGGTCAGGCGTAAAGTGGTCATCGACGAGCAATAATCAACCAGATTTCGAACACGCTTTTTTTGAATTACTTAGATATATATATATTGTATAATTAAGACATGTTTCATTGTATTTTGCAGATAGATTGTATTTGGAATTTTGGTAATATTCTTGGGGTCATCATCCAGGGCATCGCTACTTAAAGTCGCGTGTTTATTGTACATATATATGTGAATAAACTGGTTGATAGGCGCTCAACATACTACATCTGTGTTCTGTTAATTATTTTCTAAGTACTTAGAATAGAAATATTTTATGTTCGGATGAGTGAAACGAAGGAGAACATAAGTACTGTAAACATGTACAAGTAATTCTGACTTGTAGTTTACATGTACAAGTGAGCTTGCTAAACTTCTCTAATGTGTAATAAAGTCCCAAAAAATTATAGATTTATAAGGGTGACTGCAGAAAGGTAGAATTTTGAACAACATAAAAAGTTTACATTTCGAAACATTTTAGAAATCTTGCAATTTGCATCAAGTCTAGTTTATAAAAGCATTGTGTTAAATCTGGCTTCTAACATTTCTTCCATTACTTAAGAAGATATGGTAAATACACATGTACAGGAATGGTAAAGTCTTCTAAGATAACTCATTTTCTTCTCACCACTTCAATTTTAACAAACGCAAGTCATCATTATCATATGGAGCTCCAGCCAAAGTAGAAATAAATATGCATCAAAAAGTTTAAATTCAGTGTATTTCTTTTTCAAAGTATAAAATTTAAAATCTATTGAACCAAATAAAAGATAAAATAAAGTTAAGTCTTCTTCTACAAGTAAATTTAAAATATACTGGTAATTCATCTTAAAGTTCATATATGTAAAATTAAATTTGGAAAATCAATTTGCGTGGCAAATCTTACAATCATTTTAAAGGTTATGTTTTTTAGAGTGTATTCATATCATTTGTCTCTAGCACTACTGTCTTTCCATGTGTATAGTTACAACAGTCAATAACAGTTTTTAGGGAAGGAGTTTCCTTTGTACTGCCTTTGAGCATGGCTTATTAGAGGGGGTAAATGAGACTAGGTCTTCATCTGTATCTTTTACTTCTCGACTAAGTTTCTCCTCTCTGAAATAATTAAAATACAGTTTATACTGTACATGTTTAAAATAATGATGCAAAATCTTAACTATTTTCAACATGCACACACATATGCACTGCATGCAACTCCCTATGGCCTAAGGAAGACCCCTGTTTATTTTTAAATCAAAAGGTAGAAGGGTGTAAATTAATATTCTCTGTCTTTTGTGTAAAACTTTCATTTCAGGGAAATATGACCAGAAACTTTTGAGCTTTTGCAATGAAATTTCATACCATAACATCCTATGCCTCCCCCCACCACCACCCCCCAATCTGGATCCATGCATACTCTTCTTTTTTTCTTAAGTGAGGAACTCTGATTCTCTGAATTAGCTTTTACTAATTACATTGGATAAATAGAGATCTAAAATCCATTTCTTAAGCAAGCTTTGTATCAAAATTACCTTTTGTTAAATGCAAACTTGGAGAAAAGGTCTTTGATACTCCGTTGTTTGTTATCTGTTGTTATCTTGCCTTTCCTATTTTTAGACAACCCACTTGCTCTACATCCTGACTTTAAAGAGCCTAAAAATTAAAATAAAATGAAACAATTGTAGACACTTGTACAAAAAATGTTTTTACATATCAATATTTGTTTTTAGAATTTTCTTGTATACATGTAAATTGTAAAGCCCTGTGGGTATAACTGACTTGCCTTTCAGATATTAACTATATGTATACAAAATATGCCTGCATCTAATTACAGGTGAACAAATTTTGATCTGGAATTATTTTACATTTGACAATGAGTTTAAGGTGATACCAAAAAAAAAACTTTGCTTCTTACCTACACTTGACTTTTCCTTTGTTTCCTATAAATAAAACAAGCATAAATTAGTATTTCCAGAATTTGTAATTAATGTGTCAACAGAAAAACTTAGTAAGGTGAATTTGAAGAGACCTCTAAATTAATTGTGGTATGCCAAAATTGGTGTGTTATATAAAATGTACTTAAAATTTTTCTCATCAGACCTTATCATAGCCACAGTTGTTCTGTTCACATTGAAATTTTTCAAAGCAAAAGGGTATATTTGGATCATTACAATTTTCTTCATGCCAAATGAATTTGAAAATGTATGCAATTATCAGCATGATATCAAGATTCAAAGCCCATTTGCTCTAGTCATTTGGAAAAAATTTAAAAGATTTTATTCTTATATATTCCGTTGTTTATTTGGGACCAATCTTTTTTGGAGGCACAATAATTTCAATAAAGTGCCGCGCCACAGCATGATACGCCCGTCAAAAAATACAATTTTTTGAACAGTTTAGGTGCAAGAAAATCACACCTTGATTCTCAGATTTCGATGATTTTTCCATTCCTTAAAATATTTATCCATCCCCTGTGATGTAGGCATCAATTATAATAAATATTACATCACTGATAGACTTCTTTGCTGGTTGTGTTAGACCTTGTCAAATGCCCATCATCAAATTAGTCTTAACAACTTAATCTATACCAAATTAATTTTGAAAAGAAAAGGCTGGCCATCAAATGACATATGTTATAATAAACTGACCAGCAGTTCTTCTGTCTAATCCCCAAAGGGTACAGATAAGACTGAGACAGCTAGCCTTCCTACAATGAACTCATTAATTAATCTTTAACTGGATGCTTGTCTACTCATTACTACCAAGAGATGAATGGGTCTGCACTTTCTCTTTTTAAAAACATATAAAATACTCAAAGATTTTTTTTTGGTTGAGATTTAATGTCCGACAGGTTTTAATATGTAATCCATATGGACATGCTGATTCCACCCCACCCCATAAAATTAGTTTTTGAATTAAAAATATTACATAATATCAGATTAGTCTATTATGCAATATCAAATTAGTTTTAATTACTTTTCATCCAATTCATTTTAAAACTTAAGCTAGTCAACAAGAACTATTTTTAATCAAACAGGCTTACCCATTTGCCCAATACTCAAGGGATATAGATAACACCAATGCTCTGTCAGTTAGCTCCTCGCACTCAAATCCCATTAATTTCTCTCTAATTTGACATGCAATTTTCTGTTATCAAAATTCTTCTTGACCAGTGCTTGATAATTACACTCATGGGAGAGGCAGGATTTCTCTGACATACATTAAATTTGTTATAGATTGCTGTCAAGTATATGCTTAAAAAAAATAAGTATTTTCTTGATTTAACACTTTTTTAATAAGAACAGTGCAACACTCTTACATTATTTGGGATGTGTTAATGAATAATATAAAGAAACATTTTTTTTTTAAAAATTCACTTAAATTAAAGGTCACAGTGACCTTGAAATAGGTCGCGACACACCTTCTACCTAAGATGCATAAACTGGCCAAGTTTGATGATTGTACCGTAATTTTCGGGTTATATGTCGATACTTTTTTCTCAGAACCGCTGGGGTCGCCCAATATACGAATTCGACCTTTCTTAGGCTCAAGTTTACGAAAAATGCCCCAAAATCAATAAAATTTACGTAAATTTCAGAGCAAATCTGTGCCACTTTTATAACTTTTTTCATTATTTTACGCAGAAAAATTAATGCCTAGGTAAACAATAAAATATTTATTCTATAGCTTTCTTACAAAATAAATTCCATTAAATATCCGTTGATGACAAAGGAAAAAACTGCTTCATCAAGTTAATAATTCCTCAACGTGTTATCCATTGCCATCATGCGGTAGCCATCTTGTGAAGTTAGGAAGTCGCTATCGTTTACTTAAAGTAAAACCGCAACCGTATCAAAATTTAAAATACGGAAAATTTTTCAAGATCACAAGTGTAGTGTTTTGCCATTAATTAGTAGATTGATAAATTGAAATAGTATTAATTTTTTTATTGTAAAAGTCTTATATTTATTTTAATGTAAAATTAGTGAAATAAATTGTTGCCAGTCAATTCCTAAAAATCGTTTTGAAAGATAGTTTGAAGTTTTACAAGCAATTATGGAAATATACATGCGGATGATAAAAAATTAATTTTATTGATATGGAGTTTTACAAGCAAAGAATTAGTAATAAATGCAGGTTACAGAAATATGATTTAAGACAGAAATGTAATTTTAACTGATATAATAAGGTTTATCAAAAGCTTCTTCGTACACAAGAAGTACACTGAATTACCGCTATACAAAGATTGGCTTCTAACGAATTTTAATTGTCTGACAGATAAAAGGATTTACACTGTGTGTACACGCAAAGGTTTCAACACCTGTGTTGGTTTAATACCCGCAGGGCATGATTAGCAAATCCACGTGCCGTTATAGGGTATTAGTGTTACACATCATTGAACAAACAAAGCCATGAAATTCATAATGACTGTCAAATTGTGGATGTACCGGTACTCTCAATTAAATTTATAAATTAAACTTTCAGCGTGGTAATATTATTTCAATTTTTTACTGTTGCTTTATATATACATTCAATGGTCGTTTGCGGGTTTTAGAATGGCGGACATCGAAGCAATTGTCGTCCACCGGTAAATAACTAACTGAATAAACTATATTAGGAATGTGTCCAAGTTGTTCTGAAATCAGAATTATTATTCTTTGATCTCGGGTATTTCCCGAATTATAGCTTAAAATAAGAAACGTATTTACGTGTTATTTTTGCCTCTGGTTTAACAACAGTATGAAACTACGGAGGCATTGAACAGGCAAGTTGGAGAAAAAAAAGTAGTAACACAATTCAAAGAAGTTTTAACTACATTTTTTTTTAAAAACTTTATTTAAATGCTGTACTCATTAAAATACCTGTTTGTTTTCTTGATACGTTCATGTCACGGAATTGCCCCGGTAATTTTAGAGATTTACCTGTTCTGATACGTTGTATCTGCGTGAGAATCTTTAGAAAACGGGAAACAAAGCCTCGTCCTATATAGTAAGTTCGTCCTATCTTAGGATTTTTCAAAAATTAAGGCTGAAAATGAGCCTTTCGACCTATATACCCCATCGACTTATAACCCGAAAATTACGGTAGGTCTTATAGTTTTCTAGTTATGGGCCGGAAAGGATTTTTCCATATTTGGCTATAACTTCTTAATTAAAGGTCAGAGCGACCTACTTTTTATGCGCGACACACCTTCTACCCAAGATGCATCAGATGACAAAGTTTGATAATCCTAGGCCTAGTAGTATTAAAGTTATGAGCCGGAAACGAAAAAGCTAACGGACAGACAGACGGACGGACACGAAGCCTATAACATAATACGTCCCGTCTTAAGATGGGCGTATAAAAAGCGATTAAATGATCCATTACCTCCCCCAGAAAAAGAGCAAGGCTACTTTTCACCACAAAGACATATCAGAGGACATTTTTTTCCATACAATATATAAATATTATTGCTGTTATTATATTAACACATCAAATGTGAGACAAACCTGGGAAGACCTCGCCTGACTTGAAATTTCTGATTCTCTACTTTTCTGAGCTGCATATTCCTCAGATATAATCTGTACTTCCTGACTGTCTGGGAAACAGTCAAGGTCAATACTGTAGGCCCCACTCTCCTGGCTGTAGGACACAGAGCTAGCCTGGCTAAGAGAGTCCTGATTGCTGCCCATTTCTACACAACTCTCAACATGCTGAAGCTGCTTGCTCGACTGCACCTCCGAATCATTCTCTGTGGATTTTGAAGAAAAGTAATTTGAAAGACATGGTTCTGATACCACTTTTTTGTAGCTTGTATTCACTTTGTCTAATTTTGTGCTGGTAATATTGTTTATCTTTGAGAATTTGAATTTGGACCAAGTGAATGCTGAGCCAGGGGAGGGTTTTGGTGTTGATGGACTTTGTTTGATTTTTTTGTTTTTCTCTGTTGGATTTGGCTTGGATACCAGTGATTTTGAATTATTTGACACATCTTCTTTTCCAATCTTCTCTTCTTCTGTCCAATCATCATTCTTCTCATTACCTTCATCCATGTTACTCTCTGTGGGAGCTTCAGGTTCATTCACATTCACTTTACTCTCTGTAGAAGTTTCAAGTTTTTGAATTTCAAGAGAGGAAGCAAAAAATCTGTAACAAGATAACTAAAATTAAGATTTTGATAGCATCACACAAACCTTTCTTTATGCACAAAAATTTATTTATTTTTGATGGGTTATTTAATGTACTAATAAGGCAATAATTTACAACTTCATACCTGCTTTTGACTATATCCTTGGAGGCATTGATGTTAAATTTTTCCTTCTTCTCTGTGTGTACAGCAAACCTGTTTCTTACGGGAGATGGTTTTGGACATGGCTGTGGGGAACTTGGAATCCTTTCCTCATTGCTCTCAACCTTTGATGGGGAAATTTCACAAGCATCCTGATCAGCATCTTTTAAAGAATCAAAAAACTGCACTTTGTTGGGTGACATGTAGAGTTTACGGAACTTCTTCACAGGACTCTTTGGAAGCTCCTCCTCTGAGTCACTAGAAGCCCTCCGCCTCTTCTTGTGGGATGGTGGGGAGGGGGAATTTTCTTCATTCTCCTCCTGGTACATACTGGTTAATTCTCTATCAGACTTGACATTTTTATCATCTTCTGAAATAAGTTAGTGGTATTTTAATAATGTATCAAGTACTTTGTGGACTGTCCTTGAAAATTCCCTTTATACAGACTTTCTCTCAAAATTTTAACATTTGTATTTAACATTAAAATTCTTTACCTGGAGTTGGCCTTTTTTGATGGAAAGTTTTTTTCACTATGACCTCTTTTCCTTGAAGATTAGGTCTCTCAATATTCTGCACCTCCCTTAGCTCTGTTTTAGGTCTGATTCTGTAGTTTTTGTCCCACATACTCAGGCGGTGCAGCTGTTCAGGCTTCTTTTTACTGGCTTTAGAGGGCTTTAAAAACAAAGAAAACAGCTAAATCTTACAATCTTTAAAACTAAGAATATACCATTAGTTCAGAAAAGCATTTCAGGTTTAAAAAATATCTGAAAGTATGTAATCAAATCATTTCTTTATCATATTTCTGAATCTTATTTTAGAAGACCTTGGTGATTCATATCAAATTACAGGTAGTCTGCTTTTAAACAATTGGAATTTACTAAATGGGACTTTAAGTTTACCTTGTATTAAAATTTTTTTAATATATATTTAGTCTGGATTAAAAAAGTTTCACTGTATAATTACATAAAAAATTTCTCCGACTATAAAACCTAAATCTGAGTTGCTGATGACCTAAACTCACCACATGAGTGTCAGGATCAAAGTCAGCAAACTTTTCTTTGGTGTAAATGTTAATATTTCCTAAAGCTATCTGATATGCCTGGTCTTGTGGAATTAATCTGTTATTTGTTAAAGAAAATGTTTCAGCTTTATCTGTTCACCTCTGCTCTAAGATACAAATACATGGTACCAAACTTCTTTTTTATGTAGAACAAAAATAAAATTCTCGCTGTATATAAATACAAGTCTAGCAAAGTTGGATTATTAAAAAACAGGCTTTAAATCAACAAAATGATTGTAAGGATACGCTCCTGCATAATGCATCTGCTTGGCATTTAGTCCCTCCTCATAAGAATTTAAGGGACGAATCCTCCTTTGAATGGGATCATAAACAAGCTGATAAAGGAATGTGTTATTGGCACGAATAAACCCCTCTATATACTCATCTGGGACTGGCAGGGACATGTTCAGGTAAGTACTAGGAAACTTCTTCAATAGCTGTCAAAAGACAAATTCAGTCAATCATATGAATAAGAGGTAAAGCTCAATGACTTTTCAATAGACAAAAAACATAGGTAATCAAAGATTACGAAGCTCACCTCGACGAATGTTATCAGTGTAAGTAATGCAAATCTCGCATCATATTTTCTTAAGTTAGTATTTATCCTGACAACAATATTCAAGCAAGTTCTGTTTAAAAAGGAATTAAAGTTCACTGGGGATTGACCTGTTCCAAAAACTAGGTCAGATCTAGCATCAGAAGCAAGTCTGGTAGTGTCCCTGGATGCATCATTCATGCAATTTTAGTCCGGGTAGGGCTTATAGTTACTTGGGAATGGACCTGCTCCAAAATGTAGGTCAGACCCAGCATCTGAAGCAAGTCTTGTAGTGTCATCAATGCAAATTTGGTCCAGGTAGGGCTTATATAAATACTAGGGAATGGACCTGCTCCAAAAACTTTAACCTGGTCACTCATCTGGAAAATGTAGGTCACATCCAGCATCCGAAGCAAGTCTGGCAATGTCCATCCCTAGATGCATCATCCATGCAAGTTTGGTCCGGGTAGGGCTTATAGTTACTTGGGAATGGACCTGCTCCTCAAACTTTAACCAGGACGCCGATGCTAACGCTGACGTCGAGGGTATAGCATAAGCTCATCTCTACTTCGTCGAGGGGAGCTAAAAAAATGTTAAAATATATCAAAAAGTGAAAACCAATAATCAAAGATATCAAAATACAAACAAAAGATGTTTGTAAAAACACTTATTGCCCCCATCCAAATAATTGGGATTTTTCTATAAAATAATTGGGATTTTTATATTTCCAAGAAGCACACCTGTCAAAAATTACCTAGACCATACCAAAAAATAAACTTGACCTAGATATTCTTATGATAAATTTCATTTTAGTGTGTACCTGATAGATCCTCTGCAAGGAAGAGCAAACAATTTTGAAGAAAAGTTATGCCCCTTAGACTTTGAAACTTTCAAAAAATTTTCAGTTTCTGTTCATTTTCTTTGCAGAGGTTGTGCATACTGGAATGGAATTTCGTATACAAATTAATAATAAGAATATCAAGGTCAATTCTGTTTTGGGTAAAATCGGGCAATATTGGACAGAGTTATGTCCCTTGGACTTTGAAAAATTCCAATAATTTTCAGTTGCTGTTCATTTTCTTTGCAGAGTAGTGTTTCACAAACACCTCTTGTTCATGTTTTATTTTTACCAGTTTGAGATCAGATTGTCTTGCACGTTTAAAGACTTTTGCTGCCTTTCCCAGCCCAATTCCTGGTAAAGAGGACAGGTAATCACAGCCAGAGAGAATACACATGTAGCGGAATTTCTCAAAAGTGTAAAACCCACTCTGTATCTCCATCACTTCATTTAGTCGACTCTGCTCTATCAGAACACCATTCCCAAAATGATCCATCTTAAACAGCACCTGTTATGTGTTGGAACGATGAAAATTATGTAACTAGATTTGCTCAATTGATATGAACTTAACTGTGTATAAAAATATTTGAGACTTTAGGAAATTCACTCCTAGTCCTCAAAGAATAAATCAATTTTTTAAAGTTCTGTTGGTTCAAAGTCTAGCATATATTATGAATTGGTAAAGTACAATTATATAAGCATGTATGTACATGCTTTTATGTCTTATTTGTCACAGGTGGTGAAAAATCAAGTCTCAACCGGGACTCAAACCCAGGTCCTCTAGCATACCTTGCCATCACTCTAGCCATTGAGCTACTGAGACCCGACATATTGACTGACTTTCACACACCTGTGAACCCAGTGACACACATACATATACATACATGTATATATATCTGAAACATTTAGTCTCAATTACAGTTATGCATCTTTTCCTTTTGAACATACCTTTTCACAGCCGAAGAGAAGCAGATCAGAATCTTCTGTGATGATCACCTGAGCAATACCACACTTATTGAGATAGGCCAACTGGGCATCAGCCTCATAGGGAGCTACAATACAATCTACGCCCCGAGCTCTGCAGGCCTGCAATAGAAAAACAAGTGATGGGTTTCGCATAATACTTGAGTTACATCTAAACAAACATAAGTAAGCCAATACTGAGTAAAAAAGCCTATTACATTCATTAATTGAAGCGCCATGTCTGGACTGATGTCAATACATCTCTGAAGACATTCCCTGGCCTCCGCCCTTCTGCCCTCTCTCAGTAACTGGGCTGCCTTCTTTCTGTTAACGTCACGCTTTCTGTAAAAGAAATTTAATACATGTATTTGTTATACAGTATTTGAAAGTGTGATGATAGCAACTTCTCTCTCATTTCACAAGAAAGAAGAATATCATCTCTGCCAAAAGAGTGAATGAAATCTTTTTTGAAGAATCATGCCTCTTTATTTTTGTATTTAACCATTAGATAAGTTAAAATTTCCATACCTAAATAAAGAAATTCTAATGTTTATACATGTATATAAATCTACTCACTCCCTACGAGTTTTTTCCACTTCCTGCTTAGAAGGAAGGTGACAACCATCAAACACAAGCACAGGCTTAACGTTCTTCTTCAGGAGCATTTCAACATACTTCATGCAGTAATATACATATCTGAAAATTAAAATCCATCCAATAAAAATTGTCAATGTAGCACATTATGAAATTTAACTACCAGACGTACCAGTAGCTTAAAAATTGCAGTCAAATGCAACATTTATTGTAAAAGTTAAAATAAAATACTGCAAAATTGTGAACATCCAAACATAAAAAACAAAGAACAAGTAAATTATCCTTACATTGTATTTATTTTTTTGTTTTTCATTCCGTCATCAATATTTCAATAGGAATTAAGCCAGTGCTTTGAATCTAAGCTATGTGTGTTGGTTTATGACAGTACACACTTACTGGTCAGTGGACTCCCCAAGAGCTAGTTTCTCCGCACAAGAGAAGGCCCCCTTGTGGAGCCAGCAGTAGGCATCTATTGCCACAGTGCAGCCCTCAAACTTTGCAATGTTGACAGGAACATGGATCTTCTTCAGAAAGGGCAATAACCCTGTAACACCCATCTGTGGAGGAAAGTGAAAAAAATTAAATTATTAAAATATATTTAAAATTTTTTATGATTTGAATCAATAAACACAATAATTAAGTAAGTAAGTCTACCAAACTGCAAATATTTTTAATCAAAACTACAATGATGAAAACTGTTGCTAGCTAGGATATGTCAGTCACAATTTCTTAAAAAATGATTTAATTACTATATTTCAAGGAACAAAAAATAATTTTGGGGGCATATGAATTATGACTGAAAATGAAAATGTTTTGAGCCGTAAATGGTGAAGCAACACCGCCAGCCCTACCAGCAAACAGTATTAAAAGTCTCCATGTGAAACTTAATTCTTAAATGGATCTTTGTTTGAATTTTGATTTTGCACATTGATCATGTTTATCAAAATGATTTTTCCCACAATAACCTAGCTCTGGAAGCATTCAACTGTGCCCAAGCTTTTATAAGCCTCATATTATAACAAAAACTTTTTTGTGAAATATAAGACTTGTACTGTGATTACAGTCTGAAGGAAATATATGTATTATTGTTTTACAAACAGCGTGACAGTTTGCTTTATAGGGCGTGCTAAAATTTTGTATGCTGATTATCATTTTACTCATCGATTGGATGTTTGATTTCAATGGAATCTATAACACTTTGCATATGAAACACAGAACCCAGCAATACCACTGACAATACTGACCAATCGTATTGAATGACATGTTTACTAGCATGCAGGGGTAACCCGAATTACCGAAATGCCCGATTTACCGAAATGCCCCTGGGAATTACCGAAATGCCCCCTAAACTTACCGAAATACCGAAGAAATATTAATCATTCCAATTTCATGTTAAGTGAGCATGCAGAGTTCTATAGGTAAAAAATATTTTTTTTAAAAATGCAATTATGCTTAAAAAAAATTACGACACGTCTGAATACTGGTCCTACATAGTAATTGGAGCTCATGGCTAAGATATCATTGATTTAAATTATTTTGTACTTATTTTTTGATCAAAATGTTGATTACAAATAAATAAAATTAACCATCATCATAATCATTTCGTCTGATCACTTTAAAGAAGAATTAGAAGCGGATTACGGAAAGTTAAACTACTAAAAATAATTATTTGAATTGTTTGAAAAAAGCCATATGTGAATGGGTTTTTTTTTTCGCTTTTATACATATTAAGGGCTTACTACCAGCTAAGAAATAAAAAAACTTACCTCTCCAGTGCTTTAAAAGTCGTACTCTTTCTCATAGTAATCTCGGCAAATTTTTAAATGGATAACGGTACGCAGTGGGAGACTACGTAAACCCCTGGGGTTCAGAGTTGTAAAATTTATAACCAAATAAACAAATCTATAGCACATTAAACTTAAAAAAAATTAAGTATTAAATTAATTCAAATTATTCAGCATGTAAATTGACATCATCAAGAAAAAAATATTTCTGCAGGCTACACATGTAATATGAATACAAATACTACCAGAGTTATCTCTCTTAGATATTAGATAAACGAACCTTTTGAACGAAAAAAATACATTTGTAAATATTTTTTTAATTCATTTTTTGAAAATATGTATAATTAACTCACTACCTTTTATAAAAACCAACTTTTCTAAGTTTTAAAGGGGCATTTCGGTAGTTTTAGGGGGCATTTCGGTAATTTCCAGGGGCATTTCGGTAAATCAGGGGCATTTCGGTAATTCGAGGTACCGTAGCATGCAGTAAAACAACAGTTACACCTGGACAGAAAAAGCAAGTTTTACAACCTATAATGATGATATTGATAGCTACATAGTACAACAGTAGCAGAGTAGACTTACTAATTCTGTTCTTTGAATTTTCATATACGTATATAAAACCATCCGGTCAAATCATAACAAATATAATACATGCTTTTTTTAAGGACAGAGAACGGGCTTTGACTGACCACGTGTTGCTGGTGAGTACAAATGCGCACTGGTGAACAATCATTCAATGTGATTGGCCAGTATTCTCAGGACATTGTTGTATTCTGAGTTTCATATGCAAATTAGTGTTGATTCCATTGAAAAAAAGCATCCAATCGATGAATAAAATGAAAATCAGCACACAAAATTTTAGCACGCCCCATAAAGCAAACTGTCATGCTGTTTGTAAAACAATGATATTTTTAACCTGTGCAATAAATACATAGGAAAAAAGATGCAGTTTATTAAAATCATTTCTTGCAACTACATCAGTACATGGTATGGCCACTTTTTGTAGCATCAGATTGATGCTACAAAAAGTGGCCATGTCATGTGTGGAAAATTGTTTATAAGTATATTGCTTTGTTTAACTGTCTTTTATTTTCATTAATTTTACCTTAATTGATTCTCACAATAATCCCTAAGCTACTTTCAAGGCTCTTGTTACTCTGAAGTCTGTTATCAAGATTCATAAAACCATCTTCTCAAAAATCTAATTTCCCGCAAAATTTTCCATAGTTTCGAATTTTGCTTTGATCTCATTTTTAATATCCCTTGATATTTTTATGTGTTAAAACTCTGTTAAAAGGATAAATTATTATTATATTAATTGTAACACTTTCAACAGAATATTTTGGGGGTATATATTATACAGAACTTATACGAAACTTTCGTATCAACAAACATGGCGGCTCATTCACAATCCACATCATCGACAGGGAACTACACTGTGAATTTTGACAATTATGATCAGCATGTTGCCGAACAAAGTTCGTCATACGAATTTCAAAGCACATCAGGATACAATCCTACGGCTACGGTTGAAGAATTCCAGTTCGTACAGACTTCCGCCTCCATAGGTAATTTCCAATAATCCGTAAAGAACTTGCTACAGCCTGCAGTACACAAGTCCGGCACAATCTATTGATTAAGCTATATAGCTTGATTTATCTACAAAGCTTAATTAAGCTATTCAGAATAGCTTGAATTAGCTATTTTATCACACTTTTCCTTAAATGTGTTATTTTTTCAACATGTACAAAAAGTCACACCATAGTAGTGATAATATTTAACTTTGACCTCTTCTGAATACAACAGCTGTACAATGCACGTAAAAATCATCAAGTTGCGTCTCCCTGAGTAGTATGAATAATCTAATTGTGTCTCGCACAAGCCCTCACCACAGTTAGAATACCTCCCATATACTCGCAATGTAGCAAATAATGGGTAGACTTTACTTTACCGGTCCCCAGATCCGCTAATAATCACAGGCACCTGAAGTATGGATAATACCCCCCCCCCTTTTTGTTAATAAAAAAAAAATGTAAGAGTGTATAATATCTCAAAAAATATAAAATTTCCCCGTCAAACACATCTATATGTCGTTATATGCAAGCAGATTGTACTTTTTCTCACGATTAAAGAATGGCCTTATTCGGTATAATAAAAATACACAAGGTAAGAAACAAAAGTTGTAAACAAACGGGGAACCCCTACTTCGATGCAATAAACAAAACAAAAAACATACATTATCACAGATTACCAAGGTAATAATTAATGTTACCTATCATAATTTTGCAATCACTCTGTCTGGGAGATGTCCTTTGATTAGTCTCTTTAACCTAAACCCCGCTATTAGCGTTTGATATGCCGTAATCAGACGATTTATTAATCGGATACATAAAATTTTCTCCATTGGCAGCGTTAAAGGAGGTTTTGGAGCTGCTTTTCTGTTTCGCCTTATCTGATTGGTTAGATATTTAAACTGTATTATAATTAGCCAATAAGATAAGGCGAAACAGAAAAGCAGCTCCAAAACCTCCTTTAACGCTGCCAATGGAGAAAATTTTATGTATCCGATTAATAAATCGTCTGATTACGGCATATCAAACGCTAATAGCGGGGTTTAGGTTAAAGAGACTAATCAAAGAACATCTCCCAGACAGAGTGATTGCAAAATTATGATAGGTAACATTAATTATTACCTTGGTAATCTGTCTCGAAGTAGGGGTTCCACGTTTGTTTACAACTTTTGTTTCTTACCTTGTGTATTTTTATTATACCGAATAAGGCCATTCTTTAAACGTGAGAAAAAGTACAATCTGCTTGCATATAATGATATATAGATGTGTTTGACGGGGAAATTTTATATTTTTGAGATATTATACACTCTTACATTTTTTTTTCATTAAAAAAAGGGGGGGGGGTTATTATCCATACTTCAGGTGCCTGTGCTAATAATAGCATCGTTCTGAAATGATTTCGAAGAATGAAATGGATTTGCATTGACAAAAACTTTCAAATTAATTGTAACAAACCTTTTTGAGGTTGTGTACTTGTGTATCCTTTGAACCTAAAATATAATCTGAATAAAGATGAGAATTAAACTTATTTTCTCAATGTTTTTTCTCGCTGTAAATTTACATGCCATGTTTGCATTCGAAACTCTCTCGATTGTTCTTAGTAAATGCACTGAGTTTTAGTTATCACACATGTTTATTTTGCAACATTTTGAATACTTGGAACGAATAGTATCGTTAAACCGGGTTTGTAGGACATTTAAATTATCATTATAATGATAGAACATTCTATCTACTCCCTGAGAGACGATGTACTCAAAGATCTGAAAGTTTTGGGTCTAAGACATTATTGATGAGTGACCACACAGTTACTTCTTGAATGAAACTATAAAGGAGGTCAGTTACGGTCAACAGGACAATTGATTGGTAATAGTTCTGCATAATGATAAGCAATCATACTTATCCATGCTTCACCACACATTTGAGTAGTGGACAGCTACTCAAACAATGGAAATTCATCTTTTGATTAATAGTATTCAATAGACCAATCCACACTTTACAAAAGTTGTTTCCCTTCGCGGGTCAACCAAAAGGTCAAAAGGGAAAGAAACAACATTTCTCCTCTTTATGCTACCAAACATTTGGGTGGGCTATGATGAATCCACTGGGTTTAAATTGTTTTCCTTGGATGTGTGGGTAGCCCCAACATGGGGCAATCAGTAACGATTTTTCCCAAGTCCAATGACAAAGTTACAAACCTGAAAACTACAAAGGGTACTATGAGGATTCTATTGGTTTATCCCCTAAGATGGCAGTCAAGGGACATAACTTTTGAAAAGTGTGGATTCAACTATGTATCTTTGTACTCATAGATGTCACTGTCCTCCTAAACTTTTTAGATATTTTCTTCTTCTCCATAACACTTGGCCAAACTATTGATTAGACTGAACATTGATTTGTTTCCTTTTTATTACAGAAAAACTTCCTGTGGAGGGGACAATTCAGAAAAATGAAGGGGAAACAATGGCAAATCCTTACGGTGTGAAAAAAAGATCAGCTGCCTCAAAATTCCTCGAGTCTAAAGGCTTTGGCTGGCTGACAGAAGAGGAGGAATTGGATGAAGAAGATCAAAAGCCATTACTGTAAATCACTGAACAATCAATGTCTAAACATTCATTTGGTATTGTTGATGTAATGGTATTTTATGATAGCAAAAATATCCTTGCTTTAATATTATTATTGCAGTATAATCTGAATATTGTTTTTACAGTAAACACATGTTTATGAAGTTTATTTATAAAAAGCATTTTTTGGGGTCAAATTATGGTTATCTTACAATAACTATGTGATTGAACTATCTCTTTTTTTTTTGTAGGGAGGAGTTAGACATTGACCCTAAGGACATTTACTATAAATTACGATGTGTACTGTTTCCTCTGCCACAGCTGGGATTTAATCGCCACGTTGTCAGAGAAAGTCCAGATTTCTGGGGCCCTCTTGTTGTCATACTGCTCTACTCTCTTGTTTCCTTGTATGGACAGTTCAGGGTAAATACAGGGAGTCAATATTTTTCATAATTTATTCTTTATAATGCATTAAATCTAAATCCCTAAACCACAAATAAAACATTACCATATATTTATTTATTTTGTAGGTGGTGTCCTGGATTATAACAATATGGATATGTGGGTCACTCATCATTTTCTTGTTGGCCAGAGTTTTAGGAGGAGAGGTAAGTTGTACCAAAAAAGTTTCCATCATGGTCTCACCTACTTTGAAGGAAGAAAAAACTGCCCCTATGAAATTTCAAATGATGTGTAAATCTAAATTACAAGAATTAAGTTCTGAACTTGATGTAAATTATTATTTATTTTAGGTTAGCTATTCCCAGTGTCTGGGTGTCATTGGTTACTCTGTGCTCCCTTTGGTTATAACAGCAGCCATATTACCACTGTTCAGAAGATTTCACTACATCAGTCTGTTACTCAAGGTATCATCAGCTGTAATTATTCCACTGATAGTTCATATCATTGATATGTCAAGTTGGTAAATTTTATCCCTGTACAGTGCCATCCAAAGCCTTCAACAATTTTTAACTTGTGCTTGTCTTTTATTAACCCCCCCCCCTCACTTAATTATCATATTTTTTCATTGTCAATAGAAACAAGGTACTAGATACATGTATTTATTGATAAGTAAAAAGTTCAGAAACTTTTTATTAAATCCGGTCCATGAATTTGTGTTTTTTTTTTTTCTTAAAAACTAAAAATTAAACCTCCTTTAAAACAAAGATGGCAATTCCACATGTGTATGTCCACATCATTTTTCTTATGAAATGTTTGAATTTATTAAGATATTACATCAAATATATTTAAATAATGTGTGCTATATATTTTCAGTTTTTTGGTGTGTTGTGGGCTGCATACAGTGCTGGATCTTTGTTATGTGTTCAGGAGCTTCAACAGAAGCGCCCTCTATTGCTGTATCCCGTTTTTCTTCTCTACATTTACTTCCTGTCCCTGTACACTGGTGCCTGATTCAAGTCATTGGGAATTCATTTATTCTGTATCATAGTAAAAACAGACAGTGACCTTTTTACCTATATGAGTATGTGAAAGTGGTGGATCGTATAAAGCGGGGTTATTCCAGCTCTGTATAAAGCTGACATTTTAAAAAAGCTGACAATCTGTGTACTTCAATATTTATGATGAATTCACTTTGATACATGTATATTATGTACATTGATTTTTTTTAATATATTTATGACAAAGAAACTTTATGGTTACGACTCATTTGTACTGTCCCCCTAGGTAAAAGCACTATGTAGTGTTCACTGTAGTGAAAAGAACTTGGAATAATTTCACTGAGTACATACATAAGTTATTCAAAATGGAACAAAAATAGAACTTTTTGTTTAGAAATCTAATTATATTTTTTTTAACATATATTAAGTATATATGCAATGCATATTTATGTAACAGATGATGGAAATTCAGTTTCAACCTGGACTTCGTCAGGAACTCTGTTATACCATGTCAGTGCTATTAAGATGTGATAAATTGACCGACTTTTACACACCTATGAACCCTGGTGACATATTCCCACTCTAAGTTGAAATTCCTCTTCGATTTCAATGAGTTGGAGAGATGCTGTGAAGCATATTCTTTGGGAATAGTGAGTTTCATATATTAGAAACCAAATGTAACAGGTGATGTAAAATAAAGTCTTAACAATGTATAAACCCAAGACATCTGACATACAATGTTAGTGTTTTAACCTCTTAGCTACCAAGGCCTGATGATATTGACTTACATACACCTGTGAACCCAGTGACATGTACCAGTACTTTACATTTAAAAAGTTACAAGAGTGATAAGAATAGTCTGGCCTTTCAGATAAAATATATTCAGGGATGTGACCTTTTGACAGGGGATGCTTACTCCTCCATGGCGCCTGATCCCACCTCTGCTGTTTTAGAGGTCTGAGTTTGCTGTGCTCTTGATTTTTATTGGTTTAAATTAACTTTTGAGCACGATTACTTTTTCATTCCATATTTTTCATCTGCTTTATAAGTAACACCACTCAAAATTTAATTATACAATAGCATGTATATACTTATACTTCGAAAGGAAAGGTAAAATAAGGATTTCATAGATTTCCTTGACAGATCAAGTGCAGGGCCTGTTAAGTGGTAAGAGTCTAGAGAGATAGAATAAAATTTATTATGGAGTATATATTTTTATGTCTAGTAAATTTTGGACAGACATGTAAATGTAGTTCAAATCAGCTTGTTTAGCTGCAATCTCTGCTCAAATTCTACTTGCTATAGAAAAAGTTTTACAAAGTTCCTCTTTTCCATTTTCTTTCATTCCCCTTTTGGAATTTTTGTATACTTTTTAGTTTTCAATTCTACAAGCATATCCTATTAGAGTCACATAGACCATACCTGAACTCAAAGTATGAAATTGATACTTTGTATTCCTGATAAAAGTAATAACACTATGTTGTCAGAAACAACAATAATACAAATTCAACATGTTCAAATAAATCATATCTGAAACAAGTGGTGTTTGTAAAACTCTTATGCCCCCTCCCCCCAAATTGGAATTTTTCCAAGTCCAAAAGGGCATAACTCTGTCAAAAATGGCATGAGTGTACCCAAAACAGAACTTAACCTAAATACGTGTATTCATCTGATAAATTTGTATACCAAATTTCATTTATTATGTGAAGTAAATGAACGGAAACTGCAAATAATTGAAATTTTTCTAAGACCAAGGGGCATAACTCTTTCAAAAATGACACGATCCTACCCAAATCAGAACTTGACCTAGATATTTATCTGATAAATATGTATACTAAATTTCATATCAGTATGTGCAACCTCTGCGAAAAAAAAAAAAAATAATGGAAACTGCATATAGAGACATATAAAACCACCTGGTTTTGTCTCTGCTGCATATAATTGGAGCTTTTCCAAGTCCAAAGGGCATAACTCTGTCAAAAATGGTGTGAGTGTACCCAAAACAGAATGTGACCTAGACATTCATCTGATATATCTGCATACCAAATTTCATTTCAGTACCCGGTATGTGCAACAGTTGTGAAGAAAATGAATGGAAACTAAGTGGACCAACAGACCGACCGACCGACAGCAGCAAAGCAATATGTCCTCCCTTCTTTGAAGGGGGGCATAATCATTATGGTAGTTATATGCTCACCAAGAAAATAATCATTCCTTCCTATTTTAGACAGTTTCAGGATAGATTGTTTTTCACTGAGACATGATTACACAAAAATTTGTGACTGCATGTCAAGATTAAATTAAGAGGAAGAATAAAATTGTAAATTAATTTTTATGTTTAGTAAAATACATGTACATTGTATAAAAGGACAGAGGTGGTTTTGGACCTCAAAATATTATGCATCTTTTGAACTTTTTTATTGGAGTAAAATATCAATTTTCTTCTGAATCCTCCTTGTCATTGGTTGGAAAAACTTGCTTGAGTTTTCTTGTGTGCAGCTTTGCTGCTAGACACTTGAAGTTCCTAGAATATCCTACCACATCAATTTGTTGCCATTTGAGTGTACCAAAATCCAGACGACAAACTATGTTCTGTCTATAAAACTGGGTAGAATCTGATAGTACATACTCGGCTGTACCACAAGCATATAAAGCACCACTAATCAATTCCAATCCAACATTAAACATTCCAGCAGGTAAGTCTGGGCCAGATCGCCACTGGTTCTGAGAAACATTCAGTATTTCTACTGATTTCAGCGCTTCTCTGCTAATGGAATGTGTCACGTGTGAATAAATCTGACCACCTGCTACGTAAATTTCATCATCTACGACGCAGGCTCCAAAATTAAATCTTGGTGTGGGTATTCCAGCTCTTGTGATCCAGTGCCCCTTCTCTGGGTGGTACATGACCACTAAGTTATGAGCACCTACTCCTGTCCGTCCCCCTAGGAGGAAGATGTATTCATTGTAAGTAACAGAAGCTAGATCCACCACTGTCGTCGGAAGCATGCCCTGGTAGCTCCATTTGTTGTGCTGTATGTCATACACCTCTATAATTTCAGTGGGGTGTTGGTTCTCTGTCACTCCACCAAAGCAGTAGATTTTCCCAGATAATTCAGCAAGGGTGAAGTTGGATTTTGGAAACAGCATGGGCGAAAGTTTAATCCACCTGTTGTGATCATTATCAAAACAGAAAAAATCCTTGCTAACAATTCTCTCTTCTAAATCATCACATGAGTCATCAGAGTCTATAAATTCAAAGTCCAAATCATGGTAGATGTAGTTCCCTCCCCCAACAAAGATGACATTGTCTTTACTCACAATGCAACCAACATTTTCCACTTCATATTCCTTGTCTTGGCGATCTACTGGGAAATCTTGCATAAGGAATGTCTCCTTTGTGATAGGATTGTAACAGTTTATTTTTGGCCTTGTGAGTTTGGGATCTGATCCTCCAATCAAGACAAGACAATTGTCAGGACGAATCATTCCTGCACGCATTGTCATGTCAAAATTGTATCTTCCTAAATAACGGTTAGGGTACTTCTCAAAAATTCTCCAACTTTCCACAATGCTTTGGCATTCAGGACAGCTGTTTATAAAGGCATTTTGGTAAACCTGATCACAGAGAAAATCTGAGGATAGCAATGACAGTCTCACAAGGGGAAATAATTCTGCAATGTCTGCATGTCTCTCTGGGTCTGCTGTTATCCAACTAATGATTGCATTAAAGATAACTTCCTCAGAATCCACATTTAAGTCATTGCTCTGAATGATGCTTTTAACCTTGTCTAGGGGCAGACTTAGGAACTCTTCTGACTTGCAGACCTCAGGGAATGTTTTCTCCAGATGCTCTTTAGCTTTGATTGCCAGTCCTTTACAATCATGAGACTGGGCAAAATGATAAATTCCAATGCAGTTTGAATCATCAAGCTGAGATTCCAAGAATTTTGCACATGCCTTTACCACTGGCAAAATCTGAAATAATGATGAGGTTGACAAAAGGCTCTGCACTGCATCCTGGGTAATTTTCAGATGTCCAGTGTAAGCGTACTCAACTAAATCTCGGACAGTCTCATACTCCACCTCATTCAGTTCCACCACATCCTTCATGGTTTCATTCAGTCCCATTGTAAACATTGCTTTGAAATACACGCTTGTCGCAGCCAGGACATTCCTATGACAGAGTATGGTCTGGCCCTCAACTTTTAGTGTAATGTCTATCAACATCTGTTCTTCATACAGTGAGTACATTTCGCGGAGGAAGGAGGCGCTGTGTGAGTCGTTCTGGTATACAACACTCTCCAGTCCTTGCTGCTGGAAGATGTTGTCCTCTGTCCCGTCATCCTGAATGGAGAGAAAGTCCAGGGATTCTTCCATTACAGAGCTGACATCTGTAACACAAATGATTTTGGTAAATTTGTGCTGATTTAACATTATACATATTCAAGTAAATGTATCAGATATAGAAATAAAGGTTAATATTTCATCCGAGTCAAAAATGAAGGGCGGCTTGAGAAATCAATAAATCATATAAATCATCTTATTTACGCAGATCGTTAACCTTTTCAATATGATGAGGATTAAAGCTTTTTAAAAGTAATCTATCTATTTCTCAAAGGAGAATGGAGAGATAGGCCTAACGTTATAGCAGATTATGCAATGCACAGGTCAGGTGAATTATTTAAATTCAAGGAAAAAAGATGACATTCTTACAGGGCATCGTGTAGTTTTGTATATTATTAGCTTGTACAAACTTACGTTTCCCCCGAACTTATTCCAGTTCTATAACTTTATCCAAATGCTGGACATATGCAATCGTGACGACGAACCTCAGTAAACAGAACATTCACATGCACCGGAAGTGGACTCATTTGTGTCCCTTGACAAATTCATAGTGAAAGTAGGATTACGATCGCGTCGTTGCAACAACCGACATTTCACAAGAAAAAAAAAAAACAAACTAAGGTAAAAACAAAACAGAAAACAGTATTCTCAATTCATTGGTATCCCAGGTGGGTAAGTTCTCACTCTAGCGGTGTAATATTGTACAATTCAACAGTTTGACACCTGTACATGTAGTTACACATGCATTACACATGACATGTGGCAAGTGCAATACAGACCAAAAATCTTGTATATATTGATTTCACATTGTTTAGAAACCTATATTCATGACAAACGTATTCAATAACTATAATGCATATTTTATATAGAGCTCATAATAATAAGATGCTCATCAATGCCTTTTCTTGATTTTATGTATCAAATTTTACAGTAAACTAGCTTGGTTATAGTGAAGTCCTAGAGACCTTTGAATTTGGTTTGCTATATCCATATTTTGTTATATTCATATAAAGAATTTTTATAACTCTATTAAAGAATTCGCAATTTGCAGGTTTTCCTTCAGGAATTTCTACCGAATATATGTTAGGGAAGCAATTACATGTTAAACCTTTGTAAACTTTAAACTATTAATATTAAAGGTTTCATCGTGAATAGAGTTTTTTTTATATAAATACTTACTAAAATTAAAAGTTCAATGTATCAAATTTTGAGATCTTTGAAAATTCATCATAAGAGATGTAAATTTCATTATTTTCAACCTCTACGGAACTCAAAATCAGTTCACTATATACGTAAATTCGTTATAACACAGTTTGTTATAACCAGTGTTTGAATTAACCTCCCAACTTCCCGAAACACACAAATTTTGCAGCATGCTTACAGATTTGCATGTATCGACGTCCAGCTGGCCTTGTTCAGTATTCATTAATTAAAATTTATTAATTGGATTAATCTCTCCCAAATCAATCATTGATACATGTATAGTACTGGACTATTAGTAGCAAAGTGTTACAAGCACAAAGGTATAGTTCATCAGCCAATAGATTTGAGATCGAAGTTTTGATGATCTAACCCTTGTTCACATTATTTAAAAGAAAACAATAAAAGACAACTATTTTCTAGGGCTGGTAAATTTTTGACAGGGCTGATAATTTTTACTGGCAGTCAGCCCTGTATTTCTATAGCTAAATTTACGGTGAATTTCAAACACTGTTATAATCATAAATTTTACGATGAATTGTAAAGAATTCTGTAAGAGACCCTGAAAAACTTCACTTTATCTATGAATTTGTTATATTAGTGTTCATACAAAACAAATTTTACTGTATTTGTTTATCCAATAACTAAATTAATTCAGAGGGCAGGTGGTAAATCTGGACCTCCCAACTCATGATGCCAACTCTCTCAGTTTTCTATAGAAAAGATATTTTACATGTTACTTATATCACAGTAGTGGAATATCTGGCACCCTCTTAAAACCAAATATGCAAATTTTATAAAGTGATTATTAACCTGAAGTTAAAAACTGAGGACAATGAAATATCTCATGGTGAAGATCATTGCTGATTTCAGCCAGAAGAATGACAGATGTGTCTTTGTATGTGTTGCCTTTGGAGACAAAAGTAGCTCTTTTGGACTGTCAGACAGCCTTCAATGGCCTAACCAGTCAAGAGAAGTTGTACGCACATTACATCTCCCAGGCCTCCTGGTGTGGTGGACTTATCTGCTTTATTCAGGTATGTATATTCTAATCAAATATACAATGTATATAGCTTTCTCTGTTTTGAAATGAAGATATATATATTCAACTAATGTTACATCTAGAATGGAAGCTCATAAGAGAAATGTGTTATCCATGTATGTCAAAGTCTAAATCAATAGACCTGTAGTCTCATTAGAGACTTCTGGTTCTTTCATCGTGAATTCTTAGTTCCCATAAAATTGCCATTTTTTAAGTATTGACTGTTTTTAGACCTCTCCTGAGTCCCCAGGGATATTCCTACTCTTTCACAAACTATTCAGAGGTCAAAGTGTAGAGGAACTTCAGTCAGCAGCAGAGGCACAAGGGGTCACCCAAGAGGAGTTCCAGGTAAGTTATTCAGAATTAGCAGAAGTATAAAGGATCACCATAGAGGAGTTCCCAGGTAAGTTATTCAGAATTAACAGAAGTATAAAGGATCACCACAGAGGAGTTCCATGTAAGTTATTCAGAATTTAGCCTGGTCCCCTGTCTCATCCTTGCCAAGGCAGGAGAGCCAGGTGGATTACATTCTATGCTTTTCTTTAATTGATCAAAACAATGCGCTCTAAATCGTGGGAATATGAGCCATTGCTGTTAACCACGGAAATAAATAAATCAACGTAACAATGACACTTTACATGACGGCGTCGAAAAATATGATGTCACTGGAAGCACAGCTAAATTCAACGTCACAATGGTCTAAGATTCTGGGCAGATTCACCCTGAATCCATTGTACTCCACCTGGCCCTAGTGATGGGGAGTATACAAATCATAACAGGGACAAGGAACCAGGCTATTCAGAATTAGCAGAAGTATAAAGGATCACCATAGAGGAGTTCCCAGGTAAGTTATTCAGAATTAACAGAAGCATAGAGGATCACCAAAGAGGAGTTCCATGTAAGTTATTCAGAATTAGCAGAAGTATAAAGGATCACCATAGAAAAGTTCCCAGGTAAATCATTTAGGCTGAGCAGAGGCACAAGGAATTACCCAAGAGGAGTTCCTGGTAAGTTTCTAAAAGGCAGCAAAGCAAATATTATCAAGGGAATAATAGGTCATTAGGATGTTCTCTGCATGACTTTTTTTGAGACCAATATAAAGAGTCATAAACAAATTTGTTTTTCAATTTTCTCTGTTTCAGTGTTATATGAAATGTTTCTTATATGCTATGGTTTTGCTATGCATGCTTTTTTTAAAAGAAAAATCTTGATAACAAGTCGACTTTTGCAGGCATTTCTAATTTATGCAGCTGGGTTTTTGTCCAATGCAGGGAACTATAAATCATTTGGTGACAGCAAAATTATCCCAAACCTTCCAAAGGTATTAGTAAATTGTTTTGAAATATCAAATTATCATTTTACTTTAATGGTATGTTGTGTCAGTTCCTTTTCTCTAGATACTGTAAAACATGTATTACCGTAAATCTGGAAATTTTTGCTGTAGATTTTTTAGCAAATTAGCTAGTTCATTGCATTTGCAAAAATATTTTTCTTAAAAATAAATCACCAATAGGAAAATGTAAACAAAGCAGTGGTCATTCGCAAAATTAAGAAAGTTAACGTAAAAATTAATCAACAGCATTTTGACCCGAATTCGTAAAATAAAATAGATGTAAAAATTTCCAGATTTACAGTATAAAATTTTAGCTTGTATAATGCAAGTGCTGATATGAACTTTTGTGATCAAATTAATTTGGTATCAATCTTATCAGCTTTTCCCTTTTGGATATTAAACCAATAAACTATATATTTAGTTACGATGAGGAAGGGTGCCACTTCCAAAATTGTGAATTTCATTGCCCTTGGGTCATGCACTCTTAGTCTGGTGTTAGGATGGGGCTCTTTTAAAAATTATAAAGTAAAAATGCATTATTTCTTTGAAAATCTTCTCTGCTCCTGGGTATTATGCTGATGTATTAAGTACATACTTATGATGAGCAAGGGTGCTTCTTCTAGGAATAGACTACATTTGGAATTTGGATTAGACAATATTTTAATGCAGTGTAACTAATGGATTGTTTGTAAAATTTTGTGGTTTAAATGATAAACTATATTGTTAGATTTATAAGAGAATGGTTGACTGAATTCTGAAATTTGTTTATGGCAGGAGAAATTTGAGAAGATTTTGATGAGCAGCAAAGTAGCCTCGGAAATCTCGGGGTTGTGGCAAGAAGTGTCAGAGAGAATGTACTCACTGGAGGACAGACTCAGAGAGCTAGGCTTAGGAAAGAAGGTCAGCAAACAACATATACCAGCTAAAAAATCTCAGGAAGAGGCTGTAAATGTTAAGGTTATGCTAGAAAATTGCCTCTAGAGTTTTTTTTGCTATAAATCACACATCTTTGAAATGCATTATGTGTACCAATATGTGTATCATGTGTATCATTACGATTTGTGTGGTTAGCAATTATTTTAATGGACAGTATATTTTATGTGGCACTTACAGTTTGAAAAACTTATAAAGGATGATAGTAGTTATCCAGGTTCAGTCAGAGGTGTATGATGATTTACCAATTAAGGGTTGTATTCCATAGATTCCATGTATTATCGATAATCAAATAAATTTGCTACCCGCTTCCAGTCTGAGGTATATCAAAGTTTTGATAAGATTAACTACATGTTACATTGCATTTTGACATTCATGTTCTTTTCTTTTTGTGCTTAAGAAAGTACTTATTGTTACGACACTTTATATACCTTAATAATCTTTTGTGGAGTGTACAGGGATTTACACCCAGTTTGCTAACCAATAAAATCTCTAGTTATAAACTACATTAAAAAAGTATATTTGTTTCTGCATCTTCTTATTTACAGGGCATCACCACCTATTTCTCCAGTAACTGTGATATAGAGGATGCTAAAGTAGCCCAGGAATTCATGAGTGCCAAGGTTTGATTATCATTTATATGTCATGCTTATAGATATGTAAACACATGCAATTACAGCAGGTGTAGAAAGTTTGTACTGGTAAATATATGGAGAACACACATTGATTTGAATTATACATGCATCTGCATGGAATAAAAAATATAAAGTTAAAGCTTTGAGTAGCAAACCCACCGTTAATTTTAATTATTATATTGTATCAAATGAGAATGTTATAAATTTTAGGATATCAGTCCCTATAATACCAGGTTGTTTAAAACAAAGGAGGGAGACAAAGTCTGCTATGAAGTGAGATTAGCCAGCTCTTCTAGTGCAGGTCAGTACTAAACATTGAAAATGTAAGGACAGTGAATTTTAAATTTTAAACAGTAGAGTCCATAAAGTTTAATGTCAAAGAGAAAATCCTTAATGGGGCCATATGGCAGAATTCTATATAGTCAATTTATGAATCAACTGTGATGAAAACATACCGGTAAATACAGTAACAAAAGCTGCTAAAAGTTCAAAGACTCTAGCTAGATAATTGAAAAATTTGAAGAGGACTTTGTTGACAAATCAGTGTATGTCAAAGAAAGAATCTGTAATTGAAGCTGTGTTTTATTTTTATGTACACAGAAGGTGATGTACCAGGTTGTGGGTCTATACTGGGGTCACATGACTTCACACCCAAAGAAACTGGAAAACCCTGTGTCTTTAAGGTCACCAGGGGAGACTACTCTGATCTGATGTCCTTAGTTGGGGAAAATCTCACCAAAGCTGAGGTATGGTGCTATAATTATTGTAAAATTTATTATTTATATGTCAAATAGATAACCTGAAGTTTATGTTCATATTGTTGTATTGTTATTTGTTAAAGTTTTTGTTGTTGATTGAATAGAGGAAAAATTCTTACAGAAATATGCTGCCAATGAGACGGAGAAAAAGATGTTGAATGCCTACATCCAATCCTTCAGCACAGGTTCTATACCTGAACACAAACAGGGCTCTCGACACTGGATCAAAAACAAGGGACCAATTGTGGAAACGTAAAATCTTAGTTTCCATTTTGTATTTTGTATTTAATCCATAGAAGATTGATGATGTTATTTCATAATGTGTTCCTTTTTTTCCTTGACAGGTACATTGGATTCATTGAGTCATACAGAGACCCATTTGGAGTACGTGGTGAATTTGAAGGTATCAGTTTCTATCTGATTGCAATCATTTTAAATGTAATGTATTATTACTGCACACAATGTATATTAATCAATGGGCTTTATTAATGTTGTAAATTTAACAAATATTCTGCTTTGTTGTTTAAACTCCCTCCTCTCTTTCCCCAAACAAATATGTGCCAGAATTTTGATTTAGCAGAGTACCCCTTATGATTTCAATTTTATGCCAATTTAATGCTATGCAAATGACAGAAATTTTACATGTACATAAACTGTTTACAGGTTTTATGGCAGTGGTATTTTTAAATATATATAGACATATACTGTTGACAGGTTTTGTGACTGTGGTACTTTACATGTACATAAACTGTTGACAGGTTTTGTGGCTGTGGTATTTTACATGTACATAAACTGTTGACAGGTTTCGTGGCTGTGGTATTTTACATGTACATAAACTGTTGACAGGTTTTGTGGCTGTGGTAAACAAGGAGATGAGTGCAAAGTTCACAGAGCTGGTCAATCAAGCGGAACACCTCCTGCCACTTCTACCATGGCCTGCAGCGTTTGAGAAAGATAAGTTCCTGCGTCCGGACTTCACTTCCCTGGATGTCCTGACATTTGCTGGGTCTGGAATTCCTGCTGGAATCAACATTCCTAACTGTAAGATGATAATCTAGCTAGGTTTTTAAATAAATTATTTTTAACAGAAGTTTTAGTTATAGAAGAAAAAGAATTTGTACTAAAACTTTATATTAGTAAAAGCAGTATATACATGTATGTTAAATAAAATACCTGACTGTTTTGAAAAATACAGTTTAAGTGTTTCATTTAAGAACACTCCTGAAGTGCTTTTTAAAATAATGTTTTAGATGTAACCAGCCAGTGTTTTCTAGTTATTGCATCTTTGGTGTCCTGTCTGTGTAGGTTTAATGTTTATCTAACACTGTATATTATAAGATAACATCTTTATCCATTGCCTATGTGTGTAGGAAATACCGCATAAGTGGAAATTTTAGCGAGAAGCAAATTTAGTGATTTCTTTAAAACTGGTGTTTAATTTTTAGCAAGAAGTAATTTTAGCGATTTTAAAATGCTAACTAAAGATGCTATTACAAATAATAAGCAATTAATTTTTAGCGATATTCAATTTTAGCGATGTCAGCACCCTCGCTAATAATGCCAAAATTAAATCCTCGCTAAAAATTCTACTTATACGGTAATGCTATAGCCAACACCCTCATAAGGAACCCACACTTAAGCAAAGTGATATCCATTCCCATAGGTTTTTAAAATGTTTTGTGAACTGAATAGATATAATGAATTATGTTATAACGATTCAAAATTGTTGGTTCCTGGTACTTTGCTATAAGTAGTTTTACTGAAGAAGTTTTGGTTGTTGTGATTCATTGTTTGATGGATCCTGGGGATGGGTTGTGGACTTAACCAGAATTGTATCTGCCTTACATATCTCATTGACACCTGCATTATTTTCAGATCTTATATTATATAGTATACAATATTTCACTTTTTCAATGTTACAGATGATGACATCAGACAAGATGAAGGCTTTAAGAATGTCTCCCTCGGTAATGTACTCATTGCTGGGTATAAAGAAGACAAAGTCAGCTTCCTGGATGAGACAGACAAGGTAAAAAAAATTAATGAAGAATATAATTTTGTTGTCGCTGTTGAAGTATTTTTAATGAATTCAGTGTGTGTTGATCATTGATCTGACTTGTTAATTTCTTCATGCACCTTTCAATTTTTTTCACTGTCAATACCCTGGTACATTTTTTTGAATAAATCATTAACAATTTTAGGGTTCATGAATAATTTTATGTAATTTAAATAGACACATAAATATTTTTGTTTAATTATAAATTTTACTTTTAACTTTAAAGGAGCTGTTTGTGAAGTTAAAAATCCAGGCATTTGAGGTACAGGTCGGTCTCCATGAGCTACTGGGACATGGCAGTGGAAAGCTGTTCATCAAGGTACACATTTAGTTTGTGATTCCATGGACCAAAAGCTCAAAATTTTAAACAAAAGAAATCATTTTCCTTTTGTAGAGGTTTACATATGAGTATGTTATATGCTTGTTAAAGTTAGAACTTGGAAATGGTGCAAGATAATGCTGCTGCTTTTAATAGAATGTATATCATTTTTGCAGAACGAGGATGGAACCTACAATTTTGACCAAGAATCTGTTGTAAATCCAGAAACAAACCAAAAGGTAGTTATGAATTATGAGTGAATGCAGTATTACACTAAATATTAATATATATTTAATATTATTAACATTATTTTGACTTAAAATATTGATTGAAATGAAAAACTTCTCTTCCTCTGAAAGCTGTTCTGATCAATGCAGTCTTTTTTTAGCAACTAGATTTCTACAAGTAGAAAAAGAGAATAAGGGGAAGGATTATTTACCAGAACTTGTGAACTAATGAACACACAATAAAGAAAATGATGTAAAAACAGGTACTGTGTTTTAAATTTTTTTTTAAACATTGTGTGTGTATTACAGATTACAGAGTGTTACAAGGAAAATGAGACCTGGGACAGCAGATTTTCCACCATATCTTCTTCCTATGAAGAATGTCGAGCAGAGTGTGTCGGAATCTATCTATGTCTCAGTACAGATGCACTTAGGTGAAAAGATTATTCGTTATAATATCCAAACCTTCAAGGTTGTCCTAAGCTGTCAACTTTCAGAACAAGTTCCTGTATGTAATTGAAGGTTGTCTCCCACTCCTGGGTTATTCGTCAGCACAAAAACTTTTTTTTTGCATTTCAAGATACATGGATGTGCACTTTCTTTTATGAGTTACAAATCAAATTTACATTTTCTTCCACTTCAATTAATTTTGGTTGAATTCATTACCTTCTGTAAATGTCTATTTACAGAATTGCAGACCAGAATAAATTGCAGACCATCTTTCTTTGCAGGATATTTGGTTTTACAGATGAAACAGCAGATGACATAATTTATGTCAATTGGTTAATTATGGCTAGAGCTGGTTTGCTTGCTCTGGAATTTTACTCACCTGAGACCAGAGCATGGAGACAGGTAAAGAGATATTTGCTTTGTTACTCTGTCAAATAAGTGTACATTACAAAGACACAATTGAATCAGTGATTTAAGTTGGAAGGTCTTCTGACAGATAATTCACAATGTCCACCTTCAACAATGTACTTCGCAGGCTTGAATTTTATTATTTTATCTCCATCTTCCGTTCAAAATCTGTCATCATTACAGAAAATATGATTTAGTAAGTGTAGGTTGTTCTCTTTTAAGGTTTACTGTTCTGTGTACTTTTGCTTTAATACTAATGATTTTCTACAGGAAAGGTACAGAAATTTCCACATCACCAGGATACATTTTACTTGTTGAAACTAATATGACAGATTTTTTTAATTTGATGTACATTTACTTTTCAGGCACACATGCAGGCCAGGTTTTGTATCCTGAGGGTGATGCTGGAAGCAGGTCAAGGTCTTGTGACTATCACCAAGACAACTGGGGATGATGGGAAAGAAGACATTCTACTGAAATTAGACAGGTCAAAGATTATAGGTGTGGGCAAGCCTGCCATTGGAAAGTTTTTGAAAAAATTGCAGGTATCATTTAAAATTTAATTTCAGTTGTGAAGGTTCCACCTAAAAATATGAAAAAAGATTTTTTGAAATGTAGTAAATGTAGATCATACTTGCCCCCAGGGTTTACTGTTATGATAGGAAATGATATTACCTTAAACAAAGGAACAAGGTCATTTTGGCAAAGTGAGAGTCATTGACTTCATAGATGTCACATTCTGAAGGTTTTTGAATATTTTAATAAATAATTTTATGATAAACATATTTAAAAAAGAAATTGAAATCATGTTATAATTTTCAAACGGCTGCTTTCGATCAAGAATTCTGTCATAAATCATAACCATAATCATCTTCACTAGCCAAGGGTTTTCGGTCCGCACCGCTCCCCATAAACCATAAAGTTTATGGGGAGTGGTGTGGACCGAAAACCCTTGGCTAGCAAACATGAACTATAATTCAAGATTTATTTACTCTGAAGTTTAATGCTTTGATGCTTTGGTTTTTTCATGCCAGAACAGTGGATGGTTACTTTTTCATTCTCAAATTTAAATGCAATTACCTCCAATCAGTTACATTTCAACAAGATTCAGGCATGGGTAATATTCAGCATATTTTTTTTCACCACATGACAGCTATTTTGAAATGTGCCCTATTTTTGAATTGCCCCTCAGTAGGTATTAATTCTAGTTTATTTCATCTACAGGTCTACAAAACTGTTGGAGATGTAGAATCAGGAAAGAAGATGTATGACTACTACTCAGATGTTCACGATCGAGATGAACCCCACTTTCTGAGTCTTCGCAGTATTGTTCTGGATAGAAAACAGCCAAGAAGGATGTTTGTTCAACACAACACTTTTGTACAAGGTTTGTGCTTAGTCAGTTAGGCTTGTCTGATAGTGAACTTCAATAATTTAAGTTTTTTGGGCATTGATATATCAGTTATGAATTTAATGGTTAAGTTAAATGTCTTAAGATTGATAGGCATTGATACTTTTATTTTGCTACTAGATTTTTTGTTACCCAGCACATCAACATTCACTTCAGGTTTCTCTCTCAAGAAAAATATGAAATTTCATTTAAGTAACAATATATGCTGGACTTTTTTATTTTCAGGTGAGAATGTTGAGTTGAAGAACTATGACTCTACTGCTGTCGGCCTTATCCAGTCCTGGGTCGACCGATTCCCGGAAGCTGATCTCGCAGACAAAATGACGAAGTTATGGGAAAAAGAAAAACCATTCTTTACAGAATAAACTGTGGTGGCAGCAGAATACGAAAATTAATTGTGAAAAATTCTATGAAATTAAAAAAGAAACTGTTTGTTTTTGATATACTCATATTTGGAAACCAGTAAAGCAGAAACAGAAAGACACTAGCTTGATTCAAATTTTGTGGAATTTTGAATACCGGTAATTGTCACTGAAATCATGTACAAATGTAATTAATAATGCATACAGATTATATGAATCATCATTCATGAAACATAACAAGAAATATATCAATCTCACGATGATGTTTTAGTCTTATGATGCAATATAAGGTCCCCAGAGTCTGGATTTGAGGCAGCCTCTTCTGCTTCCTTTGCCAGCTTGTCAATGATATCCTTCTTGTCTCTGGATATCTTTTCCCTTACTTGACTTCATTCATCCTTCCTTTTCCTCTTAACCCCTGTGTTTTTTTTTTATTTCTGCTTCTTCAAATGTGGTGTTAATTTATTTATTATTGAAATCTTTATTTTAAGAATGGAAACCTCAAGCTGAAATAAAATGTCATTTTTTAACATGTTTAGAGCCCCATAGTTAATTAACATTTGCGGCAAAGCAAACAAATGGTTCCTTAAAGCTTAAGGATATACGCAAGGTACTTTACCTACTGATAATATATACCAAGAACAAATTATGATATTTCTGTTTGGTTGGCAATGGTTACCAACGTACTAACTTGACTTTTAATTTTGACTATCATCAAATCTCTAACTGGATGCAAAAAGCTGGCACACAAGGTTAAAAATTGATTGAAAAAAACATTTTCCCTTCTTGGTTACCATAACAACAGTTGTTTTCTTCATCATTTTTTATCAATGTATGATATTCAACTTCAGTTCTACCATATAAGTACTATTCAAGGTGAGTCATATAATGTTTCTTGATTTGACTGCAAGTAAATTCTTAATGCAGCCAAAAAAATTCACTTTTAACAACCTAATAATATTGCTTATAGCTATATACTTAAGGTAAAACTTTCATTGTATTTCTTAAGAAGTTGATTGAGTTTGAGCATGTAACATCTGCCATTTAGTGAGTACTGAGCATTTTTCCAAACGTACCCTTGGTTACCACTTACTTTGAGATATATTCCAAACAGTTTCTTGACAGTTTAAGTGACAACAAGGTATCATGTTATTGTGAGAATTGTTTGTTTCCTTTTCCTTGTTTTTATTAAGGCTCGGTAAAGATTTAAAGAACCTAAAAATCTCAATTTTTCAAACTTTTACGACCGTTACCATGGCAAGCGACACACAAAGCAACTGAAATTTGTTTGATATATGTTTCTGGTATCAAGTACTAAGAATGGGTGAAGTTTCATCAAAATCGGTGACCATGCGTAGCAACGAAATTTAAGTGGTTACAGAGAATGGCTCTTAAATATTCAATGTTCTTCGCCTTTTTTTATCAGTACATGTTCTGTACATGGTTTTTGTTTACCACCATTGTTATGCCAATATTTGTTATGCCCCCGTAAATGAAGTTTCGGGGGTATATAGTTTTTGTCGTGTCCACCCGTATGTCTGTCTGTCTTTCTGTCTCTGTGTTTGTCCGCAAAAACTTTAACCTTGCCTGTAACTTTTGATTTAGTAGAGCTATGAAATTCATATTTCACATGTGTATTCCTTGTGACAAGACCTTTCTTTGGGTACCACCAGATTTGACCTTGACCTTGGAGTTTGACCCACTTTAACACAAAAATTTTGAACTTTTACTTTGGCCATATCTTTTGAACAATAGATACTAGGACATTTATACTTGACATATATATTGTTTGTGGAAAGACCCTTCATTTAATACTAACAAACTTAACCTTTTGACCTTGACCTTGGAGATTTCCATACCTATGAAAAAAAAATTTAACCTTGGCTATAACTTTTGAACAATAAATACTAGGGCTTTCATACGTCACATATGTAATCTATGTGAAAGGACTTTCCATTGTATACCAAGAACCTTGACCCCTTGACCTTGGAGTTTGACCTACTTTAAAAATACAACCTTGACCGTAATTTTTAAAGGGTTAGGACGAGGGCATTCATACTTCACAAATTTAATCCTTGTGACAAGACCTTTCATTTGATATCAAGAACCTTGACCCTTTGACCTTGACATTGGAGTTTGACCTACTAATTACATTTAAACTTGACCATAACTTTTGAACACTAGGGACTAGAGCTTTCATATTTCACATGTGTTAATAACTGTTATCCTTGTGACAAGACTTTTCATCAGATATCAAGAATCTTGACCCTTTGACCTTAGAGTGTGACTTACTTTTTACAAATTTTAACCTTGGCCATAACTTTTGAACGGTAAGAGCCAGCGCTTTCATACTTCCGATACGTAATCTTTGAGACAAGGCCTTTCTTTAGAAACCAACAACTTTGACCCTTTGACCTTGACCCGGAGTTTGTCCTATCTTATAAAATGTTAACCTAGGTCATAACCCTGGAACAGGTGTAGCTAGCGTTTTATATTTCGCATTTCTTGTGAAAAGGCCTTACTTTTGGTACCAACATATTTGATCTGCATTTGAGAAAGCTTAACCTTCGCTATGTTGCCATACGGGGGCATCAGTGTTTCACAAACACATCTTGTTTATTATGAATTCATTCTTCACTCCATTGTTGGAGCTAAATTATGCATGTAGTTCATGCAGTATGAGGTGCGCACCATTAACTGCCAGTGGTTATTAGCGATGGTGCTGAGATCGCTATAAGTGAATCCGCTAACAATTAATTGTGTATAATTTGTAACAGCTTCTTAATGCAGGCACTTAGCAACAGGGGGGTGCGGGATGCCCCCCACTTTTTTCCCAACATTACTATTACTATTGGAAAGGTTCATTGAAAGGCTGCCCCCCCCCCCCCCCCCCCCCAGACTTGATACTACAGAAAATTGATATCAGGAAAGTGTAGTATTGAATGCAAAGAAATTGGTACTGAAAGAAGTTGGCAATGATAAAAAGTTGGCCCCTTAACCCCCCACCCCCACCCCACCCCTACCCCTCCACGAAATAGAATAGAATAGAATAAAATATTTATTCAACCAATTTGGGCCCACAGTGGAGCATACAGAACAGTGTCCAAAATCATCACAGTTATACATATACAAAACAGAACAAAACAAACATTGTATAATGAACAGAGAGTTAGCTATCTTCTTTTAGAATGTATAGAATGTACATTATAAGTGGCCTATGTGTAATATCTGCAATATGCCTATATTGAACTATGTTGTTTTCTCTTATTAAAATTTGCATTTAAAAGTTGGTATAATAAAACAACAAACTCAGAATCTTCATTTGACATAATCCACAGGTCAACATTGTTAAGCAGTATCAAATTAGGAAAGGTTTTAAAGATTTTATCTAAAAACTCTCTTCTTGAGTCATTATAAAGTGGACATTCTAGCAAAAAATGCAATTCATCCTCAGTTGGACTTGAGGTGCAGTAACGGGCAGATTCTCTCACACCTGGGAAGAATTTCATTTTTACCACATTTATTAAGTTTCCTTTCATATCTACCCATTTCTACCCTTAAACAATGATTACTAATTCTGAATTTTGCGACAATTACCCGATTGTCTCGGTTTTTCATATTCAAGTATTTTTCAAAATGAAAAGACCTTTTATACTTAAAATATGTGTTTAATTTACCAAAGCCTTCCAAATAATTGGTACGAATATAGTTCCAAGTGTTTAAAAAACTATTATTGAGTTGTCTTTTCATGTACAATTTAAATTTGTTTTCACTTAGTTTTTTTTACAAAGGGACAAATTAATATTAAGTTTCTCACTGTAGAATAATATACTGGAGTACCAATCACTGTTGATGATGTTTGATTTGCACTCATTGAGAGCTGCTTTCAGTAGGTTAGATGATGTATGTTCTAGTCTATACCAGTACATGAATATTTGCTTTAACATGTCTATATATAATGGGTACCTCCCTAGTTCAGAATAGATTCCTACATTTGTACAAGATTTAGATACACCCATAATGTATTTACAGAATTTCATATTGAGTTTTTCAACTTTCCAATCTTTAAATATATCAAAAAGAGGGATATTTTTCCTTTTTGGAGTAACGTTAATAATGCTCCAGTTCTCACAGCCATATAAAGCTATAGGTTTAATACAGTGATCAAATATATATAAAAATGTTTTTAAGGAGGGGTTAGCATTTTTTACATCCCTATAAAATTTAAAGCATGCCTTTAAACTTTTCTGATACAGTTGTTTTTTGGCTTCAGTAAACTTTCCATTGTTTTCAAGAGTTATCCCTAAATATTTATATTGTTTTACACATTCTATAACGTCATTACCAAGTTGGAATGCTTCCTTCAGTAACTGATTTTCGAGTTTTTAGGTAAGTCAAAAAAATTCTCTGGCTGCCCCCCCTTTTCGAAAACGATGCTACGTGGCTGTAATGGGGCATTAAATCGCTAAAAATACTTCTCGTTAAAAATGTATACATTTACCATTTTTTTGAGGATTAATCGCTAAATTTGTGCCTCTTTAAAATTTCCACTTATACGGTATTTGATTATCTGACACCCCCCCCCTTTTACCCTTACCAAACCCTAAAAAGAAATGAATTGAAAATTCAGCGTGAAACAATAAATTCGATATTATAATTCCAATTTTGAAGAATGTGTGAAATATGCATGCCTTTAATTCGAATACCTACGTTTCGTTAGTAGTACATGTATAATTTTATATAATCCTGTAGATAAGAGTTCTCTCTGTAATCTATAAAGTGCGAAAAGGTCTTGATATTATGGAAGTAGCCTAAGTAGCTAACATATTTAAGTACACAAGCACTCGACGGAACATTTAGTGTTGAAAGCAACAAACTAGCAGTAGTTGTTTCTCATCTTCAGTTTACTACATATATGCGTCGGAACCACGGGAGGGGGGGAGGCTGGTTGAGGGATGGGGGGGGGGGCTTAGCCCCCCCCCTTTTTTTGCAAATATATACACAATATAGGCATTGAAAATTGAGGTTTAGGTTTCTTTGTTGGTATAGCCCCCCTCCTCTCTTTCAACTTGCTTCCGACGCCTATGCTACATTGGTACTGTCTTTTACTAATTTTTAATCTGAAGTTGAAAATTATTACATGACAAATCATTTTCAACTTCAGATTGAAAATTATATAATAAAAAATTTTAAAAATGGAGTTTGTCTCCCAGTTAATTCGATATGCAAGAGCATGCTCTATGGACGCCCAGTTTCTGAAATT